AGTTCTTAGCTCACACTTGCTAATAATTTGGTTTACAACTGTGCAAATTCTGCAGTTGACAATACTGTGCACCAAGCATTGAACTCTTTTATTATTATTTTAACAGGTTTTGGGGAAACAGGTGGTGTTTGGTTACATGCACAAGTTCTTTAGTAGCACGTCTGGTATTTTGGTGCACCCATCACCCAAGCAGTGTGCAGGGTACCCAGTGTGTTGTCTTTTGTCCCTCACCTCCTCCCTTTCCACCAAGTCCCAAAGTCTATTGTAAGGCACTGAACCCTTAAGCCTTGTTCCCACCACTCAGCCAGTTGTCTCTGTCCTTTCCCTGGCTTTATTTAGTCACTTCTTTTGGAGGCTGGCCTTTTCTACCCAAGACACCATGGGCAGTGGAGCACTCAGTCCATGTTCTCCCAGGCATGCCCCACAATGTTAAGCAGCGAAACCTGGTGTTTGGGGACCAGGTGTCCACTAAAGGGCCCAGTCAAAGGAAATGTCTTCTCTTTAAAGAAAAAAGACTATCTTCCACCCATGAAGAAGGACCCTAACCTTCCCCCAGTATAAGTGTATAGGCAGGACCCCCACTACCCTGTACTCCTTTGTGCAATTTAGGAAAAGGTGTCCCATCCACATGGATACAAAGCTTGGCAGGAAAGCAGGGGCAGGATTTCAGCTTGCTTGGTCCCCTGTGCAAGTGAAGGAAGCTTTCCTCTGAGGTTTATTTAATGCTGTTCTCCCCAGACAGCTGCCTTTCCAATTCATAGGCTCCAGACCTTTGAAAGGCATATTCCAAAGGACAGACTAAACCTGTGGCAGAGATGATTGTCAGTTTTTGAAAATGCTGAAAGCTTTCCATAGATGCGGGATCTACAAGGCACCTTGCCTTCACATGCTGGGTCAATCCCATTGCAGCGGGGAGCGGAGGGCTGGACTGGATGATGCCCAGGAGCCCAGCATTGTGTTGAAATAAATTATTATGGTTGCCACTAAGGTGCAGTCTGTTCAGGGCAAATAATTAACCTAGATGGGGATGATTTCTCCTCTTGATCATCACCAAGGTTGAGAGCAGAGTGGCTACACCTGTCCAATTCGATTATTAGGCTGGTCCAAAGAAGAGTTCCTCCACCTTCTTCAACCTTCCTTGGGGCTCTCCTCCTTCTTTGACTGCCAAATTTCTTGAAAGAAGAGTCCACACTTGCTGTCTCAATAGCTTCTCTGCCTTGCATCTGACTGACTGAGTGGCTGACTGACGAGCGGTCACAGTGTGTTTGACTGCTGAAGCAGCAGGCCTTTTCTTGTTTTCCCACCCTATTTGTCAGTGTAAAGTGTTCTAAGCTGATGGTTTCTCTTTCATTTTTTTCTACTTTCTGCCTTGGACTCCAGTTAAATGACCCCTCCAGATTACCTCTACCCTCACAGCTGCTTTTCTGTGCCTAAGCTGAATGTATTGCTCATTAGTGCCTAAGCTCAACATATTGCTCATGGTTCTAACCTGAGCTTTGTTCACTAATCTCTATCTTCTGTGTTGGAGATTTGACCCACTCCTGGGATTTCCATGATAACTACTCTGTGATGACTCCCAGAGTCATCTCAGCCAATCTCATGTGCAGTCCTTGATGACCACATTTCAACATGTTCAAGGCTGTCATCTTCCCTGTCTATGTTGATCCTGCTGTGTCTTCTTTGGACAAATACATCAAGATGGTGTGGTCATGCACCTAGGTTGAAACCTAGTTGTACACTTTTCTGTGTGGCCTTTCAAACGAAGTCCTTTTTTCTCATGTTCTGTGAATGCTGCCAATGCTCTTTATATAATAAGCACTTGTCAAATGCTGGTCTCCTTCCCTATTTCTTATTAGCATGAACCTTTCCCCTCTACAGTGGGCTTGGAATCATCTGGTTTTTCATTGTAATAATGTACTTTCTCCTCCCTTACACCTCCCCCAGCCCATTTATCTGGAAACACCTCTCATGTGGGTCCTCTCTTTTCAATATTGAGGGGAGTCATCTGGGCCTATGCAACCAGTCTCTCTGCCTTAGGCTCTGCCCACCTGATCCTCTCTGCCTGCCACTACTGCCTGAAGCATGTTTCAGATCATATTCCTACCCAAAAAGCACCAGTGCCCCCACTCTCAGTTCCACACCTTTACTTTCAAGGTTTTTAATGCTCTGCCTCAAACCTAATTTTCTGCCAAACTTAGGCTGGCTCAATCACGTGGCCTACTGGGACCTCAGTGACAGAATCCAAGGGGGTTGGGTAACCACAGTAGCCAATATCTATTCGAAAGCCTCCAATCTGGAGGTTGGGGCAATGGTCTAGGGCCCTAATGATGCTCAAAGAGAAATGGGGCTTCACCTATTCCTAGGAGCTGGGCTCTGGTCCTCAGGCCAAAGATCCTAGGCAGAAGGATCAATGACTGGTCCCATGCCAAGATGCTTAAAAGCCAGGGCAGCTCTAGAGCACCAGCTGGAAGTCCAGAGTCTTGGGAAATAGAAGTAAAATCTCAACCTCTATGTATAGAGCAACTTGAAGGTGAGGAAGAAGGCAATGCAGTGGTCCTGGGCTTCTAGGTTAATGCTCAGGGTGGCCCCTCAACTGTTCGTTTTTTATCTTCCCTGGCTTTAGGCATGTACCTGCTTAATTAGTTTGACACACCTCCCTATGCTTACCCCTTTCCATAGAGAGTGCCAGGTCCTATGAAAGCTCTCTATATAACCTGGCCCAGTGAAATTTTCACAGCCAAGACAGAAAATAGGTGTAAATCTCCATCTTAGGCATTGAACAGGATATGTAGTGAGTTCATGGAAAACCCTTTTCACTCTTCTGAAGACTTAGGAATAAAAAACGGCTCTTATCATTTTGTCAGAAGGCACTCTTTCTCCACTTTAAAGAAGCAAAACTTCCTCCAGTTCAGAAACAGTAAATGAATGGTCCACCATGTGCTGAGAACTTTGCTGTTCACCTCCATGGTCTGCTGTTAGCAACATCTATGCAAGCATTCCATGGATGCTATCCTGGGTTTCTTCTTTTTATTATTAATAGCTAACATTTACTGAGTGCTTACTATATGCCAGGCACTATGCAAATGGAGACAGGATGCCTCATTCCCAGGTAGTTCCTGGGAAACTGAACAGAACCTTAAATAGAAACTCTGAGAAATTAGGGGAGTGTGGGCTCATGGGGGCTGCAATTCCAGAGGAGACCACACTCAAAAGAGGGTTTTGCAACTCAGCCTCATTTCAGGCCTGCTATATCACTTCCACTCACTCAGTAGTAGGCCTGGCATTTAGTGGGGGACAGGGTCATGTGGGAGGTTGGGACGCTATTCAGGCTTGGCCTTCACCTGCCTCTGCTGGGCCTGGATCCATGAATGTAGTGTAGGATGTAGTGTAGAAGACTTTTCCCCAGCCCCTCCCACTGTATCCCAGACCTCTCTCATCTCCCCACCTTTTGACCTTAAATATTAAAAATTCCCTCCATGGGGTGAGCTTTCAGTCCTTGGTTCACTCCAAACAGGCTTCAAATGCAAATAGTTCCAGAGAAGGTAAGAGAGTTGCCTCCCAGTACAAGAGATGAATGACTTGAGAAAATTCTTTGGCAAGGGGCAGGGAGAGGATGCCCAGGAATCCTGGCTGGCAGGAGAGTGGGGGAGAAAAGAGGGCACAGTGGGAAGCTATAGGCAAACACCTGTCATTGTAGCATTGCAGAAGGCCCCAAAGGACCCAGCCAGTATTGAGACAGGTTGGTTTAAAAGCCTCCTATGGGAAGGAACCCAGACTGATGACAAGCAGAGCCAAGTTCATGTGCCTGTGGATGAGAGTGTGGCTCTGGGAATGTGAAGCCTGCAGCAGGAGTCAAGGGCAGGAGAGCTGCTCCATGCCCAGAATTGTGCTGGGAATGGCATAAGCAGTGGCCCAGTCAGCTTGCTTATTCTAGACCCCTCTTCCCAAATTTATGATTTGAAAAGGAATTATTTTAAGATGTCTTTGAAATCTTGTATATAGTCTAACAAGGCATTTGAAATGTAAAGATTTGTGTATTAGGAAAGCATGAGGTAAATTACCTTCATTGAAAAAAAAAAATACAGTACCACAGGGAGTAGGATTCTCAGACAATTCAGCATGTCTGCCTGTTGGGGACCTGTAACCCACCACCCTGTCCTTCCACAAAGAATGCAACTATCCAAAAACCCTAGATCTGTAGCAATGACCTCATTTGAGAACAACCCCACCCCCTGCACTTAGCTCACCATTTCTCTTGGCACTTTGAGAAGGAGGTCGGAATGCAGTTGTGTGTGGGGAGGTCACTGCCGCATTATAGATCTCTTGCTCATGCTGAAAGTTGGCAAGATAGGCTGGGAGACAGCAGGGTTTCATCATCAGCGGTGGGCTAGATGCTAGAGGTGGGGCCGGCTGGGAGGGTGAAGGGCACAGAGATCCCCCATGCAATTTTGTAATAGACAGTAGGATATGGGGGAAGGGTGTCTCACCAGAGGAGCAAGGCAGAGCCCAGATCAGGGCTGTCATGCCTGAGGACAGGCTGCATTTAACAAGGAGCAGGCTGTGGGGCCAGGAGGTCAGATCCAGGCTCTGATTTTCAGGAAAAAGCAAGGATGGGAGAGTGAGTGGGGATAAGAATAAAAGAGAAGGCTAAGCAGACACTTTGTAGTGGGCCACAGGAGCGTGCCAAAGGGTGAGAGGATGGAGCTGGACCAGACTGCTTATCTGAAATGAGGAAGCTCCATTAGATGAACCAGGAACGCAGTGGTGAACCCTGTGGTGAAAGACTCCAGTTTTCAGCAACCCCCGAAGGGTGTGGGATGGTGGAGAAGCTGTGACTCAAGTAGCAGCTGTGGAACACTAGTGGCCAGCCCCAGGGGTGGACTGTGGGGCGTGGGCAGGGAGTTGGTGCCACACTTTGGACAGTGAGCAGAGCAGTGGCAGCTTGAATAAGAATTCCTGTCTCCAGATTGGGCTGGGAGTGTGGCAGGATTGAGCACACAGATAACTCAGCTGTCAGGACCTGAGGAGGGCCAGGGAAGGTAGGGGCTGGGGACAGGATGCAAAAGGTAAGCAGTTTCATTCATTCAAAAATCACTGCACAACTATGGAGAGCTACCGATACCAGCAGGCCAGGGATAGGAAGATGAGTAAGACATGGTCCTTACTCTTGAGAGGTTTGTGATTGCTCTAGGAGAGCTAGACTGGGGAAAATAGAGAATCCAGTGCCTTAAGACATGTAATCAAACTTATGGTGCTTTGAAAGCAATACACAAAAGCAGCTCTCTGTTATTCATGTTTTACTCCCATAATACTCTTTAGCTTATGCACATCAAATTTATCCATCCATTGACTATTCCACTGAGATACTGGACTTTTGAACATTCCACCTTCAACTCACCTCTAAGACTTTAGTTGCCAATAAAATTGGCTGGCAACCTGGGACTGCTTTGGGTCAGGCACCAAGGAGGTGGTGCTTCTGTTTCATTTTGTAGTGTTAGCCCCAGACCATTGAAGAAAACCAGGAGTCAGTTTAATAATTATTTTAGGGGTCTTCACAGAACAACTAGTTGGAGGACATGAGGGAAAGTGAGGCCATTTGAGGGTAATAGGATGGAGACCTGGCCAGGGCAGAGTGAGGGGGAAAGGTGTTTGGGCCTAGGAGACAAAGACTGTGTAGGAGGGGCTGCTTTTTGCACAGCAGTGATACCAATGTCTGAGCTGTGGCTCTCCAAGAGTGTGACGAGGCCCCCACAGCTTCAAGGAAGTGGCACTTGTAGCATGTGAGACAGCCTGGTTTGTAGAGGCCTCAAGTTCAGGTGGGCTCTCTTTCCTGGCCAATTCCAAACAGACCTGCCTGATTTGCCAGAGGTACACAGGTATCCAGGTTCGCATTGCGTTAGCAATGCCTGTGGGAGAGAATAGGGTGAACCCCCAAGCAATTTTTTTTTTTAATTTTTTATTGGATTTTAGGTTTTGGGGTACATGAGCAGAGCATGTAAGACAGTTGCGTAGGACCCCCAAGCAATTTTTATTTAGCCTTCTTCTTTCTTGGCTGAGGAGCGTCAGTTGTTTTTCCTGAAAGGATATATCCTCCATTATTTTGATTGGGTGTGTCCGGGGATGCTGGGAAGAACAAGATAGGCAAGAAGGGAAGGACTAATGAATTTTCTTGCGCATTCCTAAAGTCCTATTTTTAGATTAAAATTTTAAATCTTGAACTCATCACTATGTGCATCACAGGTCTGCAGAATATCATTGGATAAGTCATGTCCAGGTTTGGACACTTGCTGGTGGCTCTAGTCTTGCCGACCCTGCCTTCTATTGACCCCACCCACCTCACATATGAACGTGTTGGGTAGGTTCAGCCAAAAGCTCCTTCTTCTAGAATCAGCCTTGGCAAGACTAGAGTGACCTCCTGTCCCATCTAGAGGCCATCTAAAGGTATATTCTGAATTTGCCGAGGCTTACTTCTCTCAAGATCTCCTGGGTCAGGGGTCAACTTCTCACCTGTATGTCAGCCAGTGTATCCTCCTATAAATGAATTCCTGCCTTTTCTTTCCTTCTGGGTGATTTTCATCAGATTGCCTTGCTGCACAGGTACAAAGCAACAGGTCTGCAGAATGAAAACAGCTGGGAAACCCTGAATGGGGTGGAAGTAGGATGGAGGAGGTGGTGGTATCTTCTTAAGGAGGTACTGACGGTGGGAAGGTCTTTGTTTTTCTTGGGGAGGATTCCCTTTTTGCCGTCCAAGGAGACTTCCCTTACGCCATGGGCTTTGGCCATGCTTAGTAGTCAGGGCACACTTGACTTTGATATGCAACGTGCTAAATGGAATACACACTTTGTACCCCACTGGCCGACTGGCACCTTGCTGTGAGTCAGGGAGGAATCAACCTTCCAGGGGAAAAGAACAAAAACCAGACAAACCAGTGCCTGAAGACAGTTTAACTGAGTGCTTCCTGGCCTTTGTTTTAGCCCACCCCATCTAAAGATGTCCCAGATTTGAGCTATGGTGTGTGGAGGGGTAGAAGAGAGAAAATGTATGTGCAAATGAGAGGTGTTAGGCGGGCCATACAGGTGGAAAGAGGGGAGGTGGATTGCACAGGTCAGGAAAGAGGAGAATGGACACTAACTTGCTTTACAAGCAAAAATTTGGCACATTTTAATTATTATGCTTTGCTAAAACACCATGGTTGGCATATAATTGTATTGCAATTTAGTAATTATCCCCAATTTTTTATCTTGTGGATTACTAAATCTTAGAAGTTGGTGACTTGCTGTGGAATTGATTCAGTGTGAATACTAAGGTCTGCACTCATGGGGACACAGTGTCTTGTAAATTCAAGAGGACACTTGGCCTGTTTTCTTTCATGTTTCCCCTACCATATCACATTTGCTCCTGTTTCCCACCCCATCCCCCGTCTCTTCTCACTCAGTCAACTACTTATAGATGAGCATAATTAATACCTGAACATTGACAGGCAGCAACCAGAGGTAAATTACCAGCTCTGAAGAGGGTCAACCAGAGCCAAGCAATCTATGAGAATACCACGGTTCTTTCTCCGAGAAAAGCAGTGAAATTGGAGTGTGTCAAGGTGCTTATTAGGCTCTGATTTTTGTTGCATTGATTATCATACAAACGACAGCCCCAGGAGCTTCCCACCTTGAATGTCTAAGCTAAGAAGGTGAGTTGTGTATTTGTGATTGTTTTGGAGGCCAGGGGTGGTTGGGGCACTCTTCACTGTGGACTTCAACATGTCAGAGAGTGTCTCGGAGGTCTTCCTGGAAAGGTTGCTGTAGCTCCCTGAGGCAGGGTGGCTGCCAGGGTGTTGGTGTGACCAGAACTCTGGGGATTTGGGTGAGGAGGGAAGTCAGGTTTTCTCTGGCAGGGGTAAGAAGGGAGAACAAGGGAGAGAAGAGGTGTCCCAACAGGAGAGAGGGGTAGAGCTGTTATAGATGACTTCTCCTGGAGAGTTGGATCAGGCCCACTGTAGGTGAGAGGGGGAATCTTTCCCAAGAATCCAAGTGGTAAGTGGGTCTGACCTTCCCTTTAGGTGGTTATTCGAGAACTGATGGGTATGCATGTGGAGACACTGATGCCCGACAAAGCCGGTGCAGTCTGGATGGGGGCAAGTAAGGTGGTTAGAGGTCTTACTATGGAGTGAGACTGTGGTTACTGGTGCCAAAAAGAGAAGATGAAGTGTCATGTCTTAGGAACTCCATCTGCAAGGATGATGTCAAACTGGAAAAAGGGGTGAAATCAGCGAGGACAGACATTGCCACGTGTCTTGAGGTTTGCTCCTCCGGCATCTCTGTCTCAGCTCTTCTTATTCCAGAGGTCCCCGCGGACTGTGACAAAGATTTTTTCAGAATTCAGAGAGGCAACCGACAAGGGGCAAGCTTGGTTGCAGTACCTCTGACAAGCCTAGTAGCTGTCCCCTGGGAGGCTAATTCTCCCGCGCCTCACCACCTGCCTCCCAAGGCTGCCCTAGGGTTCAGCTGAAGGAGGCGGTTGTGCTTTGCTGCCCCCTGCTGCTCAAGTCCTGCTCTTCCATAGGAGCTGCTGAGCTGAATGTCTGGATGTGACTTCTTCAAGCAAATCCTCCTCTCCTGCTCACAGTGCTCTGGCTCTTCAGAGTAGGTTTCTGTCCAGCACATGGCCCCCGAAAGGGCCTGGAAAACGCTCCCTTGTGTGGTACTGGCCGAGCTTGGTATAAGTGTCTTATACACTTATATTCAGCAAGCATAGTATAAACTATGCTTGCTGCCCTAGGAATCTCCAGAGAGTGCTCCAAACATCTGGCATAGCCTCTATTCTTACCTAGTCATGTTTCTTTTCAGGCCATTTGGCCTCTTCTAGGAACAGTTTCCTGGAGAAATAGAGTTGTGGTCACTACACTGGAGTCTTCCTGGAATAGGACCGGGTCCTTCCTAAGGTAGAAAGAGCTGTATAGTGAGGGGGCTGTGTGAGCATTCCTAAAAACGGTGTCTGCTGAATTTTCCACTGGGAGATGCCAAGTCCTAGGGGAGTAGGCAGCAGTTGGGCAGTAGGCAATAGACAGCACCAGGGTCTGTGGATGCTCTGTTGGGGTGGCATCAGGGGACACTGGTTTCCCCAGTAAGAGGTGCTGCAGTGGCAATCACTTCCACAGAGGATGCCCCGGATGCAGCTTATCGTCTCTCACTGTCCTGTCTCCTCGGTCAGGAGGCAGGCGCCTACTGTTCTGGCTTCCCATTCCTGAGACTGGAAGATGGCGCTTGTGTGGGCTGGGCAGCTTTCTAGCAGTGGTGGGTCAGGATGTGGGAGCGCTGTGGTCCAGGCACCTGTGGACAGGTGGCCTGCCACACTGCAAGCCCCAAAATGACACTGGACTGCATTCCTTGATGCAGTTACATTTGTACCAGTTTTTTTTCTCCAAGCTTCAAGTTGGAACATTTGTAAGCCGAGCCCTCATGGGTCCAAGCCTGTTTTCTTCTCCACAGCACACTGAGTGAGGGAAAGGGCTCATCATAGATCCCGGCCTCTCCCCACCTCCACCCAGGCAGATGAGAGCCTGGAGCCGGCCAAGGACTGGTATCCAAAATGATGCCCGAGTCACCTCCTGATAGGAAGGAAGTGGCCAAAAGGAGGTGTAGAACCTCATGTCCTAGAGGTCAAAGCTAAGAGTCCAAGGCAAATGGCCTCAAGGCAGAAAGAGTCAAACCAGAGCCCCCCAAAATGGAGAGATCCGGATGGATAGATAAGAAGGGAAGGCTTTTAGTTTTATATCTAGGACCAAAGTACAAATGTGAGCAGAGCGGGCTCTGATGGAGGGAGCCAGTCACATGGGGTTTAGGATGGAGTAACAGTTCAACCCCCTTAGACCCATCCCTTCTCTCTCTCTTTCTCCTTTGACTTTGAAATTAACAAAAACATTTAATCACATTCTAAATAAAAAAGGCCTGTGCAAATACTTGGAATTGGGAAAAGAGGAGAATATGACAGTTTCTGCCCTCAAGGAACATAAAGTCAAGTTCACAGCCTTTTTGTCTTTCAGCCTTCTCTTCTCCCTCTCATCCTTTCACCTAGCATGTCCTCAGCACCAACTGTATACCCAGGCATTATTATTTCTCTTGCCTTCTCCACTGCTAATTCCTTCCTAGCCTTTCCTTTCTGCTTGCATTTCTAGCCCAAAATATAAGCCACAAAGAGAAATTTGGGGAATTAGAAGGAAGAGACTTTAAGAGAAAATGTGGATATCATCGGTGTCTCCATCAGTTTTGACTCATAGCTTGGGTTGGGGGAAGTCAGTGTTTCCTGTCCTCTTGCTGAGGAAATTTCTTCTGAGCCTTAGCTACATCCCATGTACACAGGGCATCATTCTGTTCTTTTTTCCTGGTATATGTCTCTACTTCACATTCAGGCTGGTTGTGGGTCTTCCATCTACTCTGTAGCTGGGGGTGTGGGGGTAGATGCCAATCTGACAGTGACCAGCACTACTAAGTGGAATGAGAACCTTCTCATCCTCCCGCTGGGCTCCCACCCCAGCCCCCAGGTCTCACCTTGCCCTCTCCTGTGCAGTGGGTTCATTCCAGGACGCCTTCCAAATCAGGCTAGGGCACTGAAGGCTTCTAGAATGGCAAGCACTTTGGAGGCTAGGCAGGGCACGCATCTTTAAGACACTAGGTACTCTTTTTACTTCTCATTTTGATTTTAATCCAAGTCTTTGGTCTCTTTTTTGCTTGCTTTTCACCCAGGACAGAGTCACAGAGACCTTGGAGAATGGGGGAGGTAGAAGAAGGAGAAATGCAGAAGGAGGTGTGTTGTGGTGTTATCCAGTGGAGGGTCGCATCCAGCTTTATTTTGCCCCAAAAGATCTTGCATCCTACCTGTTAAGAAACTTGGAATGCCACTATTCCCTTAAATCTTAAAGGAACTTGAGTCCTTCGTTTAAAAATATATTCCTAAAATGTAAATATCCCTATGTGGGACAGTATTTAGCCGACAGTAAATTTGAGGGGAGGGTCTCAAGGGGCGGTGTCACCAGGAAAAGAGAGAGAAAGGCACCTCCCCCCAAGCCAAACCTTACCTTCCTTAACCGATTGTATTTTCCCTCTCAGCTATTGCTGTATCTCAGTACAGGAGAGAAAATAAAAGGTAGAGAGATTTTTATCCAAGCACCCCTGTAAGCCCCGGGTGTACACGACTGAACCTGATGCAGTGACAATCATGTTCACACATAAAAACATCTGGCTGAAGGCTAAGATCACTTCAGATTTCCAACTTACATTTTCCTAAGCATAGCATTTTTCTCTTAATTTTCCTTAGGAAAAGACTATAAAGTAGCTCCACAATTCCCATGTCTTCATACTCAAGCCTGCCCTCAAGTTTCCCTGGGACAGCTATCTGTGTGTGTGTGTAAATCTATATTTACAGCATCTGTCTAGGACCCCCCATGAGGAGCCGAAGTTTCAGAGAGCCCAGCGACGACGATGTACCTCCACAGAAGGGAGGCATGGCATTACTCTCTGTTCATGGGAGCGTACACACAGATCTTTTCTCCTCCTCATGGTCAGCTTTCTATTTGTGATTAGTAATTGGCTTCTCTTGGTACGCTACGATCTATTACAAAAGCCAAACATTCAGAGGGCGAGCTGAAATAAAAAAATTTGGTTATAATTTATGTTGGCCCCTGACATATATATTTTTTTAATGGTTTGGTCTCCAAGCAACTGATCTCTTAGCAACAAGAAGCACCTTTATAAAAGATGGCACACAAAGAGTGATTGCCAGAAAAGCCACCCGGTTCCTAAACGGCCGCGCATCATTAGCAAAACTCACCATCTTCAAGAGTCCAAAAACTAGAAGTGACCAGCAGACCCAGGTAACCTTGATATTTGCACATTTTCCTGGAAAAAAAAAAAACTCATGCAACTATTGAAGAGAACAAAATTCTTTGAAATATGTTCATTTTTGAGGTCTTACTAGTTGGTCTTGGCTAACTTTTAATAATAGTATGTATTCTTTTAAATAACTGCTTGTTGATTTTTTTAAAAAAAACCATGATTTTTGTGATCAGGAAACAGTTCACTTGAAGTATTTCATTGGCATGAGAAGGGAAGGAGGGGAACAATCTACTATTTGTTTCAGCGTTTATTTCTGTAGGTTTTCATCTGATGGGAAAAAAATCCACATTGTGGCAAAAATAAGAGTATACAGAATGTCACCCAAGTGATGTGCACTATTAGGGAAATAAGTGTATTTATTTTCTAGTGTATTTTAAAACTGCTTAAATATTTAAAGAGTAGCAAAATAATTTTACTTTCAAACTTTAGCTTTTTAATCCAATGTCAATTTCAGTAGCAAGTGATAGTCTTGCTGCAAGTGTTCAAGGACTGGTTTTTTCATTTGCTTTAATTGCCGTGAGAAAAGATTCATTCCAAAACTAAAAATAGGAAAAATTACAGGCATCTGTACCTTGCTTTTTTCAGGTACCCAGAAATTGACGATTTAAATGTCTTTACAGAAAACTGGAATTAGAAATGAGAAACAATTGTTATTTTATCTATACTCCTTCAATTAAGCACAAGCTTAATTATAAACCTACTTGGGGTGCTCAAAGGGCATAAAAATGAGATGTTTTATGGGGGGGGTGACATAAAAATCCTCCTAATTGAGCTTGGAAACAATGTTACATAGAGATACTGCAGATCTAAGAAAACAGATTAGAAAATTTTATTTGCAATAAAGACAAGTTGAGATAGTGACACATCGTTTCATTTTTTATAAGAACTGCTTTTACCACTTTCTTTGTCTCTCTCTCTCTCTCTCTCTCTCTCTTTCTTTCTTTTCTTTTCTCTCTTTTTTTTTTTTTTTTTGGTGCCCTTTCTGAGGTGCAAATGCCTCTTTAAACTGAACTGTATGCAGACATCTTCTTGGAACCAGAAAATGGAAAGCTTTGTCTGAATACAAAGCTTGGTAATGGGTCAGGGCATTCAAAACCAACACAATCCCAGAAATTTTGGGACTTATAGTTGCTACTCTAAGCAAAGTCACCTCAACAGCACAGTATGATTACATTTGATTTTAAAGCTGCTTATGACCTTTATTTCTGTTACTACTATGAACTTCAGGCAGAAGAATTCATTTTTGTGATGGCTTTGCTTGGAAGTTAGAAATTTCGTTGGGTGTTTGGGTTGAATTGCCGAAATGCTTTTAAAGCAATGCACTATGAAATCACAGAGAAGCATAAAATCTTGTCCTTCAGAACTAAAATTGTATGTACTTGCAGTGTGGTAATTATTGTAGAAATGGTTTGTGGCTTTAAAGTTAAGAAACTTGCATAAATAATTGTGAGATGTAACTTGTGTTGGCTGTGTCTGGATACGTTTTCAGTTTTAACGGTACTGTAGTCTCCTAAAATATGAAGGGTTTTAAAATGAAAGCAAAGGTATGACAACATTTATATTGCAAGTGGCAGCTAAGTTTTTGCAGTGGTTCTTAAAATCTAGTCACTGTGTCCTTTGAGCTTCACGTGCTCTGAGTTTTATTTATACCTGAGGAAACAAGGGGGGTCAATGGGACTGTAGAGCTTATCATTTTGGCTGGCTGAATGAGCCATCTGACAAAGATGGACAAACACCTGCAAGACGGGAGATATACTATGAAATACTCTGATTAGACTGGCTGCTGTAGACTGAGTCAAATCATTCTGCTGTGTTGGGATTAGTTACTTCTGAGACACACACACAAACATTCACACTAGTCACTGTGCTTGCATATGACTGGTCTCAATATAAATGAGGAAATCAAAACAAGGCTCTCTATCAGTGAGAGCTTCCCAGGAAAAAGGATAGTTTTAATTTTGCGAATGATAGTTTCCAACACAATCTTTATTTAGTGTCTAAAAGTCCTAGACAAACTAGATGGCTCTTTTCCTTCAAACCTCAGGCTGGAATCTGGTGTGGGTGCGCCAGGGGGACACATCAGCTGTCAGGCACACTGTAAGCAGTCCGGCTATGGGGGTGATCTGTGTTGCAAATGAATCCATTTATTCTGGACACCTTTCTGCCTGAATGGAAACAATCAGGCAGGAACTTGTTCAATTAGTACATGATTGGCCTTTTGGAAGATTTTTTAAAAACTCTTATAAATGAGCCATGCTTTGGATAATTTAGTCTTTCTCTGGCAAGAAGGAAGTGAGAAAAAGAAAAGAGCAGCCACTCTGAGTTAGGTGCTTGATGAGGGCTGGGCAATTTGCAATGTACAGTTTTGCTTAATCTTTAAGGCAACTGTGCAGAGGTGTCAGTGTCCCCATTTCACACATGCCAAAGCCAGACCCAGCAGTTTGCCAATGTGTTACCTAAACAGTGAATGGCAAAGTTGAATTTCAACCCAGGACATCCTGACTCCCAAGCCCGTGTACTTTCCTTGTGTCACAGTACCACAAGCTGCAATTTAAAACTGATGCTAAATAGTCCCTCTGGTCTTAGTAAAGCAAAAGCTCTAAGTGGTTGGGCTGAGGGTAGAGATTCAGGCATCTTTTCAGAGAAGAGTCTCCTTAACCACTGGTTCTGTTGGTTGGAGTGACTCGGGTCCTGTGTTTTCAAGGCTGCCATTGGCTATGAACCAGAGGTGGGTGCTCAGTTAGGCTGTGGCTGTGGTAGACACAGGGCATGGCACCATTTCTTGCCATGATGCACATCCCAAATGAAGTGGGGTAGAACTCTTTGAGGTTCTCTTTCTCTATGAACAGTTCTGAGGACAGGGCTTCCTGGGTGTCCCCTCCCACCCCAACCCAGGCCACAACAGTTAGGGACTGCACAAGCAGAGCGGAAGCCAAACCGTGATCCAGAATGCGTCAAGTGACATGCCACCACGTTAAGGTGAAGGAAGGAGAGCCCAGGTATGGCTAGGGCAGGCCTGGGAGTTGGGGTGAGAAGATGACAGAGAAAGTAGAGCTTTCTCCCAAGGATGTCACTTCAAAGTTGAAGGATTTCAGTAAGCTGTCCCCTCTGGCTTATGGTGTTGCCCCTTCTTCAAATACCCCTGATAGAGGGATCAATCTTAGAAAGGTCATTAAAAAAAGTGACAGTTCATGTAGGTGGGACTCAAACTCAAGTCTTTGGCTGGAAATACTGTGGCTCTTTCCTACACCTGGGAAATATGATGGTATTTATAGGCAGATACAGATTCTGAGGTGGTCTGCCTTGAATTTGGCATGACCATCGTGAATACGGAGAGAGCTCTTCAACTGTTACACTTGAGCCCATTCCCCAGAGGAGAGGCTAACGCTCCCAAGAGGCTTAAGAAGCAACCTCACATTTCTTTTTCCATTCCCTCCCTACTCAGGGTTATCTATAGTTAATTCCTCCAGTTGTGAGTCAGAGGGCTGATGGGCGGCTCAGGAAGTCTGAAAAGAATGCCCATAATAGGTTCAATTTTTGTATGAAAATCAGTAATAATGCTTGTGCAGAAGTAATCTTCATGCCTCTACTTCCCTAGGGTCCTTGTCTCCAATCAGACATGTTCACCCTGCTTGAGCTCCTGCCTGGTGAGTGGTGCCATTGATGTATATGGCTGGCACATTGACACCACACACCTGCTGTGGAGAGCACGTGCCTAGTTCTACTTTCTACCTAGTACAAAGAAAGTCTCTTTTTATCTGGCAACGCTGGGTAAAAGAAAAGGGCTACTTATGTCATTTTTATTGCATTCAAATGATGTACCTGGCACTGGTCTAGATGCTGGTGCTATAAAGTTAAATAAGACATGATCCTTGTCTTAAAGAAGTTCAAAAGCTCATTTCCAGTTAAATTTGGGAACTTCTGCTCTTTAGGGCTAGTCTAACAGCAAATAAGAGATTTACTCTGGAATACATATCTTGAAGGTAGGGAAGAGTTTGTGAAGAAATAGGAAAAGATAGAGCTTAGGTTAAAACTGAAGGAAAAATTGAAGATGGATAGAAAGTTGCCCCTCACAGTGTGTAGAACAATGGGCACAAGCATGGATAAGAGAGTGGCAGGTTGTGTAGAAGGGTAAGCCAGCCTGGCATTTCTCTCTTGGCTGAAGGAGTTCCACATTGAGGCAGAATATAAACAATGAACTTGGTACTATAGGACAATGGTAGAAAACCCTAAAGACCAGGGAAAGGAATTTGGATGTAGTGAACAGACAGTGAAGAGCTGGTACAAAACCTTCTGCTGATGCAAACACTGTAATATCAACAGATTGTGACTATCTATGATTTAAACAGTGCCAGAGAAAAATACTTTTGTCAAAGTAACATTGACCCTGATGGGGGGGATAATACAACTAGAAGATCAGTCTTTGGAAATCCATGGACTAATGAATCAAAGAGTAGCAGTAGTCACGGAGGATACAGCCTAATCCAAGACTAGTTCAGAGAAAACAATGGGCTAGACCCAGTGAGTGGATATGGGAGAGAAGAAGGAAAGAAAACCAAAAGGATGCTGGGATCCCTAGAACTAAAGAGAACTTTAAGGCTTAGCTACCTGTGTGGGTGGAATTATGGTGTAGCTGGTTTGTCAACAAGGCTTAGATCTTGTAAATTGTCCATACAAGTGAGAACATTTTTTGGAGATGTTAAATACGTTGCCCAAACTGTAAATCAAGACACACTGGGTCTCAGAAAAGATGTACTCTTCTGAGAGTACAGGAAGACAGGGGAACAATCTGGAAAACATCATTTAGATGTTAAAACTATTAGAAATTTCAAGGTATTATAATAGTTTTATGGGTACACTAAGGTTAACCTGGTAGTCAGAACTTTAGGTGACTGGCAGGCTTGGTTAGAGGGCTCTTGCTCCTCTGGGTGCTTGAAAGAGCATCTCTAGGAATGAGAGAGGGACAGAACAGAAGATCTGGAGACCATAGACTGCATGACCTGGGTGATTAAGGAGAGGGGGATACAAAAAGAATCAGGACAGAGTATGAGTGAGAAGTGACCACAGACTTGAGAAAAAAAAACAGAAGCAAACTGAGCCACCTGGTTCCAAGGAGATGTTTTCTGCAAAGGCAACAGGGAAGTAAAAAAAATGCTTAGAATTGCACACAGTTTATCAGACAGGGTGAGAGGGAGGCTACTGATATCCTCACAAAGCTATTTAGGAGGAACAGGAAGCTACGAAACCAGACTGCATGGCAGGCATTGTGGGGGTGGAATACCAGAGCCTAGTCAGGCCTCCAGACCCACGGGCCACGTGCTGAATGAACACAAGACAGTCAGTCTAAAGACCTGGGCCTCAGCAGAGACCCATTTTGAAATCTGTCTGCCCGTGTGGCCTGAGGATAATCAGCTTACGGTGGGAGGAAAGAGCATGTACTCTGGAGTCAGATGGATTTTGGTCTTTCCTCAGAAAGAAACCAACTGTTGAGACCCGGTCAAAGAGATTTAATCTCTACTTCTTCATCTCTAAAATGGAGCTACTTCTACTTATCTCACACAGTGGTTTCCTTTTTTAATTTTATAGACTAAAATGAGATAAGATGCCTATAAAATATGGGGGCAGGTGCTCAGTAAATACCAATTTCCCTAGAACAGTGGTTGCTTATACTGTTACTTGGAGTATGAGGTTTCTTCGGCAACTTCTAGAAGCTGTCTCTGAAGGTGAAGAGGTTCCAGGCAGGGAGAGGGATACTGACTGGGGGACCTCTGGTTACCCACACCTTATGCTTACCAGAGCACTGGGATCCCCAAAAGCTTTTGTTTAAGCAGGTGGGGGAGGAAGTATTTACTATTAATAAATTCAGCAAGGTTTCAGGGTACAAGGTTAAATTGTACAAAATCCAATTTTTGTATTCTTATATACCATCAGCAGTCAAGTGGAACATAAAAACTTTAAAACAATTTCATACAGTAGTACCAAAAACAAAAATACTTAGGAATAAATTTAATAAAAGATGTCTAATTTAATCTCTACACCAGAAATTACAAAACATTACTGAAAGAAATTGAAAAGGACTTACCGTGTTCATGGATAATTGGCTCTATTGATCTATAGAGCTAATGAACTGCCACTTAAAATTTCATCAGGCTTTTTAGGGTAGAATTTCACAAGTTGATTTCTAAAATATATATGCAAATGCAAAAGACCTGGAATAACCAAGGTGTGTGTTTGTTAGGAACCTTTAAGAAGCAGGTGACAAGACTGCATTAAACATACAAGAGGTTTACAGGGGCAAATGACTGGGAAAGATAAAAAGGGAGGGAGCAGGAGTAAGCCTGAAAGCTTTCAGATCCCAGTGTAGGTCTGAAATCCATGAAAGAAGAGAGGGAAGGGAGAATTGTGTGGAAAGGGCTTCAGATTACAGTGCAGCTCTGAGAGAGTTGCAGCCAGCAGCGGGGAACCCCCAAGCAAACACTGCTTGCTGGAAGAGTCCTGCCTGGACTGGAATGGGCTACCACCAGCACCTTTAGCATGCTTGTCATTGTTTAGGAGCTACCCAGAGAAACATGGGCTTTCTGTGAACACGGTGGTGAATGCATAGGGTGGAGCTGTCAACTATGCTCCAGATAGTCGTAGTAGTGGTAGTAGTAGCAGTTGTTGTTGTTTTAAGGAGATACTTGAGCAGTGCAGCTCCATGGCAACCTCATTTTTTTTTTAAAAAAAGAACCAAGTTGGAGAGTTCAACGTTCAATTTACTAACCTTGCCTTTATATTTCAAGATTTATTATAGCTACAGCAATCAAAAAAGTTTCATGTTGGCAAAAAAAAACATATAAATTAATGGAACAGAACAGAAAATTCAGAAATACACCCACATGTATATTGCCAATTTTTAACAAAGCTACTAAGGGAATTCAATTTGAGGGGAATAAAAGGGGGCCTTTTCAACAAATGGTGCTGGATATAGCCATAGAGAGACAAAATAACCCTATTAACCCTTACCTCATACCACATACAAAATTTAACTCAAAATGGATCATTGACTTACATATAAAACCTAAAAGGATTACACTTCTAGAAGAAAACAGGAGGTGACCCTGGGGTAGACAAAGGTCTCTCAGAATACAAAAAAACCATGAGCCATAAAAACACCTGACAAACTTGATCAAAAATTTAAAAGTTTTGATCCTCAATTGACACAAAGAAAATAACGCAGAGCACAGACTAGGTGAAAGTATTCAAAATACACATATCAGACAAAGAACTTGAATCCAGAATATATAAAAAACAAAAAACTTAATAAGACAACCCCATTTTTTAATGGGAAAAAACGATTTGACCAGATGCTTCATAAAAGATACATCATGGCCAGTAGGTTGATTGAAAAATGTTCAAAATTATTAGTAACAAGAAGATGCAAATTAAGATCACAATCATATACCACTGGAATGGCTAAAATTCAAAGACTGAGAATGTGAAGCAACCAGAACTCATATACTACTGGTGGGAATGCAGTGGAACTTTGAAAGATAATTTGGCAGTTTCTTAAAAAGTTAAACATACACCTGCTATACAACAAGTGAAATATATGTCCACACAAAGACTTGCACACTGATGACCATCATAGCCTTGCTTGAAACAGCCAAAAAAAAAAAAGAAGGAAACAATCAAAATGTTCCTTAAGAAGTGAGTGGATAAACTGTGGCATAGCTATGCAATTGAGTGCTACTCGGCAATATTAAGGAACAAACTATTGATATGAACAAGAAGAATAAATCTCAAAATCAATATTCTAAGTAAAAGAAGCCAGACAAAAAGAATACAGACTGTTTGATTATAATGACAATAGAACTGCAGAAAGCACAAACTGATCAATAATGACAGTAGTTATCTGGGGATGGGGGTGGAGGAAGGATGGATGACAAGCGGGTGATGGAAATTAAATGCCATCTTGATTTTGGTAATGGCTTCACAAGTGCAAGTCTGTATGTTAGAGCTCATAAGATAGTATACTTTAAATATTTGAGATGTATTGCATGTTACTTATGCTTTGGCGAAGTCCTTCAAATGGGAAGGGGGAAGGTGGGGTCTGATGGAAGGAAACCAACGACACCTCGACAGTAAACAGATTTGACACGTGCTCTGGAAGAAACCTAGGGGGAACTGATGTGGTACTTTGCTTTCATATTTATCTACTAAGTATCTGCGTCTTCTCCAGGTTGGGGAGGGGCGAAGGCGGAGCAATGCCTAGTGCCAGCCAGTTGTGGCATTCAGGCTCCTTCGAGTGCTCTCGCCTGCTCAGCGGCAGTGGGCACAGGGAGGACCCTTCCCCCGGGCCTAGGGAGCAGGCAGGGCTGGTTTCAACCAATAGCGATCCCCCATAGGGTCCCACACTCAGCGGGGTGGCATTTGGAGTTTAATGCTCTGCAGTTACCATGTGAAATTCTTCATTTTTTCTTTGAATCTGAGTTTTTGTATGTGAAGTGCAATGAGACAGTGGATGCTCGACAGCTTGTACTCTTGTCTCACTCCGGTCACGTCTCCTGCGTCTTCCAGGGACCGGTTCTGAGCCCCCACCTGGTGAACACGGCTGCTCTTCGCCCTGGGCAGTGGCCAGGCACCGACATGGAGCGGCGCAGGCCTGGGCGCACAGCCAGGGGGCCGACCGTGCTGCAGCGCCTGGTTGCGGCCTTTGCCAGGTCGGCCTTTGCCTCGCCAGCATCCCCGTGCCCAAGGGAGTGCAGCATTGACTAGCAAATAAAACCGGCCAACACAGGTGGACAGAAAGACCACGGAAAAAGAGAAAGGCTTTTTTTCTACTTTTTGCACAAGGGGCCCCGCGTTTTCATTTTGCACTAGGCCATGCAGATTCCGTGGGCGGCACCAACCACCGGTGGCCGGCTAGAGACAGCTCGCGGCCCTTCTGCCTCGCCTAGTGCCTGGGCTGCTCCAGCTGTGAATGGACACAAGCAGAGGAGCTGGTTTTGCTCCTGAAAGCGTCCAACAAAAATGTGTCTCGATTCGCCCTGCTTGGGAGTGACAAAGACCCAATCTTTGTCATGAAAAGCCCGGACGGAGGGCAGCCTTGCTCCCCAGAGCAGGGAATGTGTCTGGGTAGAAGCAGGGAAAGTTCCTGCCCGCCTCAGATTTTCTTCTGGATGCAGACCGCCCTGTTCTTTGACTTCCTCTCCAGTGTGGAATAAGGCTGAGGGTCTCAATTTGGTGAGAAAAGTAACCATGACAACAGCCACATCGTGGAGAGCATAGTAAAATGTATAAATCTCACTGGCAATGCCTTCCCTTCCAGAATGGAAACTCCTAGTCAGACAATGACCCAATGGCACCTAAAGAGCGAAAGACCAGACGTGGGAAAACTTCCCGTGCCTTTCTCTGGGGCTTTCCACAGATGAAGGGACCACTGTGATTTGTCAGTTCTTTGCCTCCAGCTTTCTACACACAGTCCAGGGCTGCTTTCGAGAGCTTATACTAAAAGGGCAAGAGCAGAGATGAGCTGTTTTTAGGAAACATGTCCTACACATGGAGTAAACTCACGGAATTGCAAAATAAAAATAAACTTGGAAAGTTCCAATAGAAGTGTTTAGGGCCTGATAGAATTTGTGCATGAATCCTTGACTCCGAGGGCTGAAGGCCTGGCAAAAGCTTGTCCACCTTCGTCTGGATGAGGAGGGGGGTGCTTCTTCTTCTGCCATGCAGATGGAAGCTTTCCACTCAGTTCTTCTATAGTCAGGATGAAGCAATAGCATCTTCAGAGGCACTGGCTAGAAAGAGAGACAGGTAGCCTGGGCTTCCAAACTCTGTCACTAATTAGCTGTGAGACTTGGGTACACAGTTTAACCTCTTAAGATGTTCTGTCTAGTGTTTGCTCTGCTTTGTCCATAGAAATGCAGGTGCCTTGTATAAGTATGCAGACAGCATACACCGGTGGTGTGTAGGCACATCCTCATGTATTCACTTCTCTTTGCTGCTCTCCCAGCCTGGCAGAGAAGGGTTGGTTGGATCTGGAAACTTTTTGTGAGGTGAGATCAGTGTCTTTCCTCAGCTGGCTCTGGGCTACACAGCTGGGGAGACTTTGGGAGAGAACAGAAGCTTCTTTTACCTTTGCGCAAAAGAAGCCAGCCATCTCCCTGAAGTTTGCCAGAAACTAGATTTGCTATATTTCTGGGGCTATCACTAGATTTATCAAGACCAGGAATATCCTCCAGCCTGTAGCCTGACTGGCTCAGCAGGCATCCAGGGATCTGAATGAAGCTCAAACAGCTAAAAAGGGCAGGCAGGTAACAATCAGAGTATAATAAACCATCCAGGAATGGTTGGCACTGTGGAAAAAGGGCAGTCCTGGCTTGGGACAAATGGGCGTTGCTATGAGGTAATGTGATTCCTCTGGAGCCAGATCTGATTTTTTTCCTAAAAGAGGCCTGCAACCTGGACTTAAAAAATTTAAGATAGCCAAAGTTTTACATAAAGACAGTGAAAGCAAATGTAAAAGTCAGTATAAGCAAAAAGAAGACAGGTGAGCAGGTTGAGTGGGTTAATGACAGAAAATGCAGTTGGGACTGGGACATCTGAGGGTGATGTGCTTTTCCCCGGGTTCCCACAGAGAGCCCTGACCTGAGCAACTCGCCTCCCTCAGCCTCTCTTCCTCCCTCCAGTGCAAGGAGACTTTCTATCCCTATCCCCAGCTTTTTTTTTTTTAAAGACACTATTGTGGCCAAACCTTGCCTAACCTTTATAGGACCTGGATTCTGAAACTCAAAATATTTTTTTTCCATCTGCTTTCTGCTTCCCTGAGGCAATGAAAAATGCTCAGCTGACTTAATGTGGGGAGGAAATAAAGGGTAACCAGATCAACATCTCAGAGGGAAGAGAGGACATAGAATGCTGTCTGACCTGCCCACAGCCCAGGGGGGGGATCCAGGATGGGAGGCTATACTAGGTGGAGAACACCACACACATAGCCTTGGAGGCCCAAATGGGGAAGTGTGCTTGGGAAGTTAGGCCCCGTTTTATAGAGCTGGGCGGAGCGCAGGGCAAGTGGCAGGGGATGAAACTGGAAAGATGGATGAAATAGGATTTGTGTAACATAAAAAAGTATAATTGGCTTGAATGTCTGATTACTTACGTGTTATTTTTGTAAAGTTGGTGACACAATCCTACATTGGTTTTGTATAATTTATCATCTGAAGTGACATACATTAATGAACTCAACCAGAGTCTCAGAAACCATGACCTGGAAACCACAGCTATCCTAATTTGCGGGTGGCCTTGATCTCTATGAAGTATTCAAACTTATACTAATTGGACTCATTTGAGGCTATCAAGTAACTCCAGACTTCACTGAGAGGTGTACTACATCTGTCGCCAAGGGACTGCTCCTACTTTCTGCCTGTACCACACCCAGCCCCTGTTTCCTGTCTCCCTAGCTCCATCCAACTGTTCCCGTTCCCTGGTGATCCTTCCCACTCTATCTCCTCACTGTATTGGGGCTGGCCCCTGAAGACTGCATTTTTCCTGCTGCCCTGCATTTTCAATAATAAATTCTCCAGTTTCAGTGCTGAGAGCTGGTGTTGGTGTCTTCCAGGCAGGCACCTCACTGCTGTCCCTTGACAGTTACTCTTTCTTTCTAAAAGACTGAAATTCTCCTGTAAGATTCCCACCATCCACCAATTCACCCCGTCTCCCCTACTAATCAAAGACTTTGGTGTCCTTCTCGGGGTCTTACCCACCCCCTCCAACCCCTGCCATCATTCTAAGTAACTGAATGTCCTTGTGGCTTATCCAACCAATGCCCTAACTGCCCAGTTCCATGATGACCGCACCTTTAGTGCTTTTCTTTGCCCTTTCACCTCAGCACACACTCACATGGCCACAGTGGTGACCTTGTCATCAGAAACTGTTCCTCTGAAATCTCATTCTCTCACCACCAACCTCCAGCTACCTTGCTCAAGTCCCCTGACTACAGCAGTTCTCCAGCCTCAATGAGATTTCCAAGCCAATGGTCCCTCCACTTTTCCTATGTCCATAAATCTCCTATCTTCATATTCTTTTGTATTTAGCTCAGAGGCCCTGGTTCTTCCTACAGTGTCCTCAAAATACCACTAAATCCTTTGTTCACTTCTCAGTTGTTCCCGGACCTACTCATGCCTGTTGCCTGAACAGATCAGAATTACTGGAGAATGAGACACAACTGGGCATTTTGGCATGGCTCAAACTTCATGCTCTCCAAACTCAGCTGGGACCTCCACACTACCTAGCAGGTTTACCATGCTTTTCTAGAAGCTCCCTCCATGTTCACAATCACAATTTCATTTCTTCCTCTCAGAGTTGGAATGCTTGCAACCCCCTTCTTCCCGAAGAAGCCGCCTGGAAAGGAGAATGGGTCCATTGCATTTGCTCCTGTCCTCTCCTTTCATCACCACCTCCAGTCAAGAACAGTCCCTCACAGGTGCCTGGATCCCATCCCTTCTTCCCTGGTCAGGGTTCTTGTTCCATCATCTATACCTTCTCTTTCCAAATCTTCAACCTCTTCCTTACCACTGAATTCTTCTCTTCAGCACTCAAATATATATGAGCATCCACCATCACAAACAAAATCAAGCAAGTGAAAACTTCCCTAACTCCACGTCTCTGTCAAGCTATCACTCATTCTGTCTATTCTCCTTGCACAGCCATGCTTTTTGACCATCATACATAGGCACTGGCTCTACTTTATCTCCTCCTCTCCTTTCTATTCTGGCTTCCTGCTTCACCACATTTGCAGAAACTGTCTTGCTGTGGTCACCAGTCGTTCTCTTGCTTTATCCAATGTCCATGTTCTGACTTGACCGCTCAGCAGCACTTCATACAGTTAACTAGATGTTCCTTCTTGAAACACTCTCTCCTCTTGGCTTCAGTAATAAAATAGATTTTTGTTTGTTTTATTTATACCTTCTGACTGTTCTTTCTGAGGATTTTTTTTGCCTGTTCCTCTCCTATCAAATTCTAAATTCTTGAGTTCTTTGGGAGCTCATCTCACAACATATTCTCTCCGGCAATTTCAGCTTATCTCAAGATCTTAAATACCATCTCTACAGTGGCCAAAGTTAGGTCCCTAGTTTAATCTTTCCTGAAATCTTAACTTTTCCATCACAGAACTGAAATTAAGTACTTATTTGGGTGACTATCTGTATTTTGCCTGTCTCCCTTCCTGGACTATAAGCTCCAGGAGTGCAAGCAATGTCTTTTTTATTCACCATTTTCATAATCCATTTTGTCAGCTTCAACACCAACTTCTACCCAATGGGTTCATGCTCTGCCCGCTGCAGGCCAAAGCAAGTAGCATTAAGTTTTCTAAGAGCTAGGACATATCACTGCAGCCTTTGTCCGAATTTAAGTGTGCAGCGACATTTTCTTTATTGTAGAACAGGTAATCAAGTAGTTTCTTTTGCCAGAAATGGGGAAACCCTATATTAATAATAGTATAAAATCCCTAGCATCGGAGGGGTAAGGAGTTTTCAGGTCTGTGAGTCCAGGAGTGACATGGCAAACTCTATAGATTTTGGAAGGCTAACTGTCAGCAATAAGGAGGAAGAATTGGTAGGAGGAGAAAATAGGGGCAGGGTGATTTGTGGTGATTCTGTTTTAGGAGGCGGCTGACAAAAGTCTTTACTCACAGATGGCATTGTGAATAGAGAGGAAAGGGGAGAGGACAGACTTTTGGAGATGAAATAACAATTGATTGGGGGTGAGATGGTAGGCCGTGAGAGGTGGCCCAGAACCTGAAGACTCTTTATTGCTTCACCCTTCATCCTCTCCAGTGGGCCCTTGCATGCATGCTGTTCTCACTCCCGGGGAGAACCTGCCCCACACTTCTCTCCTTAGAATCTTATTCCTCCACCATGACCTCTATGAAACTCTTCTTGACTACCCCAGGGAAAGTTTCCTTCCTCTTAACCCCCAGAGCACTTTGTTCAAATGGTCAATTTTATTGCCAGTTGTATGCAACACAAGTGCGCATGCAGTTGGCTATATCAAGGCATTGTGCCATCTGTAATGAAATGGCTAAAAAACCCCATGCATTGAAGGAACACACTTGTTTTCTTTATTTCCTTGACTTGTAATTAGTATTAATTGACCAAAAGCATTATCTTACTCTTTTTGCTTTTTTACAAAGTTGTGGTAGGTCATATTAATAATACCCATTACTCATTTCTCTGATAAGATTATAGAAGTCTAAGGTCTTGGATGATCTTGGCCTGTTCCTTCCTCTGATTTTGAAGGAAGCAATTTCTTAACTTTGGGACAGCCTGAGATACCACCTCTGACTTCTAAATGACTCAATATCCTGAAAACTCATGATAATCTCACTCCAGCTTAGCTAGTTTCCATTAACCTCCGTCCAAGCTATCTGTGTGGCCCTGGTTTATCCTTTTAAGAGAAACCAAATGTTTTTCGTCACAGTGGATGCATATGACAGCATGGTTTACCACAGATATGCTGTGGGTTAGTTTCTATGGGCTTTCTCTGACTTCATATGTAATGCTTTTCCAAAAATTTCCCAACATCACCAAGGCCTTAGCAACCCTTTAGGACCAGGATTTCTGGGAAAACACTCAAAATACATCTGACTCTATGTCGTGTATCATCACTCAGAGCATGCCACCATCTAGTTCCAGCAAAATCCTAGTGATTTCACCAGACGGGAAGGATTGCCTCACTGCGAGACAGTTGCTGATTCCCATTGCCTTTCACTGTTCTACTTTGATAATTTGCATATGCCTTTCCTGTGGCGTTTATCACATAAAACTTTGCTATTTTCATCTGTATTCATGTCTTTCTCTCTAGCTGTATCATTAAAGGCAAAAACAATATTCTTTCAGTGTCCTTCCTACCTGTTCTCCGCCCTGCAACACTGGAATCCTAACACCATGCATTGCACTTATTTGGAGTTCAGGATTCTAGGAAAGTTAGTAAATGGATGAATCATAAATGTAATTTGAGTCAGTTTTTTCACAAAATGTGTCACCTATCTTTGTCTCTTCTCTGTCCACTCATACTGGCTCCCTGTGGCTTCTCCCCATCTGTGTATTTCTCTCCACCTCTAAAGAATGTCAGTCTGCTGCAGCCCTGGCATCTGTGCTATCACCCCTCTTTGGACTCATTGTTAAAGATGTCGAGAAAGGTTAGTTCCAAGGTTTAGCCTTTGCATTTGGAGAACTGTCTAACCATTACTCAGTAATTGGGGGGCAAACAAAATTTGAATTCCTTTGAATTACTTTAACTTGGCTTTTGTAGAGACAAGGGACCTTTCTCTGTCTCCCATGTCATAAGTAACTTTAATGAGAAATGGTGAAAATATCAATTAGGGCAAGCCCACCTGCACTGGGGCTACCCTCCCTTCAACTCACCATAACCTGCTGGGTAAAAACCATGTGGGAATTGACTGCTCAGCTGTTCTAGAGACCCTTAGGACAAATTGTGTTTTCCCCCCAATTACTGAATAATGCTTACATAATTTGGAAAGAGGGAGATTTCCTACTTTTTGTAAGAACATTGCCTTCCTCACCATCAGGGCCTTTGAACGCATTGTCCTCTCTCCCTGGAATAAGTCACCACCTCTTTGCCATTTCTTCTCCTGGCAAACACCCACTCATCCTTAAGACTCAGCTTAAGGGAGCACATGACCCTGTTTGAGGTTCTGGAAGGTTTTCTGTTACGTACTCCTATAGGACCCCACAGCTCCCTTTGATCCATCTCGTTTCATTTTTCCTGTTAGCCAACTGACTAACTGGAAATTTCAGCCACAAATGAGCACATATTAAGTAGTCACTGTGCATTTGAGGAATGTCAGCACCTTGAAAGGAAGTTGCAAGTTGTAAATGGAGTTTTTACGGGAGGAAGCTTGCTGATCCATCAAAATAGGACTCAAGAATATATTGTTAGCATCAGAGATACAAGCAGATATTGCATCAATCAACAAATAAACAGATAATGGGCATTAATATTTTGATTTTTGAAATAAAAATGTGAATGGATGGCCTGATAGGACAAACAGATGACAAACTGGATTGGAAGAGTCAACCAAGGAATTATCCCAGAATGCAGCACAAAGAGAAAAGAGATGAAAAATCTGAGGAAGCAGACAAGAAATATGAAGGGTGAATCCATGAGACTGAATGTTTGTCTAACTGATATTCTAAGAAGCAAAAATGGTGAGAATGGAGGTGGGGAGTGGGGCAATAGTCAAATATTTAAGCAAGAACTAAAGACTGAAGTCTCAAAACTAAAAAGTCATATACAGATACTCACTGGGCCAATCCTTCAATCAATCACTGAAGATAGACTTAATTTGGAAAGCAGTTAAAGGTCATTTGCAACCAAGTGTCATTTGCAATGAAGATGAAAAATTTAAAAATTTGTTGCAAGGATCATAATAGACTTCTGAAGATGCCTGCCTCTCCTATCAGCACTCGCAGACAGTTTAGCTAGTTGAGTTTGCTGTGTCTTTCTCAAAACTTCCTCTAGTTTCCTTGTATCACCAAATGGGAGGTCATGGGCAAATTAGAAAACAGGGGTCAACTAAGAGAGCACTGCCTCTCCTGTATCCTCCCTTATCAACTGCCTTTCTACTTATGGTTCCACCACAGACATTACTGCTTCCCAACACAAATCCAGCTTCTTCATTCTTATTATCCCCCAAATGCTTTATGCAATCCTACCTCCAGCATTGCAAAGACCTCTCCTCTACTTGCCATGAAAATCTAAACCACATTCCAAGGCCCAGGACAAGTGCCATCATTCACATGAAGCCTTCTTTGGTCTGTATGCTAATATCTCTTTGTACTTGTCAACAGTACCAAGCTTCTTAGTTTTTCTCTCCCAGTAGACTACAGGCTTCCCTAGAGCTGAGAGAGTGCCAAACCTTTTCTTAATGATCATTAGGAACTGCTCCAGGTACATGTTAACATGAAAATATCCCAGGAGGGAGAACAAGTTGGATTAGCCCCTGGATATGAATTGTGTTGATGAGGTAATTTCCTCTGTCGGGGTAGAGGATAGTGGGTGGATAGAAAATGTGGGGAAATGACACAGAAAAGGAAGTATGGGTGGGAAGGGGCACTGGAGGCAAATGTCAACAATCCCACAAGTGTGTTCAGTGACCTGACGGGTTCACATGATCCCTAACATAGCTGTGACAACAGGGATGTATTGGAACTAAAAGACTTCCCCACTCCCCAGCCTGCTCCACGTTCTCAAGACAGATACCGTGACCTGTCCAAAAGCATACAGGTCTTTAGGGACCCCTGAGGGCAAACTCCAGTCCATACTATTTCTTCCAGCTAGTCCTAGGACTGTCCATTATTACCTCTGCTCTTACTGGAGACTCAATCTTAATAAGTTGATTGAAGTTTTACCATATGCTAGAAACCTGACAAGGCCTTAACAGGCTTTATCTCATTTCTTCCTCCTAGTAACCACCATTATTTCCCCCATTTTTTCTAATGAAGAACTTGAGGCAGAGATCTAGCAGTGGACATAGTGACAGCGGGTCCCTCTGGACCCAGGAAAGTGAATGGTGTGGGGAGGAATGCAGAAGCAGCTGAGTTTCCCTCTGCCAATTTGTTTCTCATTCTCTCTACCTGCTACACCCTTCCTCAACTTGGTATCTTGCAGAATAATGGGTCTTCTTCAAGGCCTGCTTATAAAACCATATGTGACCTTCCTAGGGTAGTCACTTTTTCCTCTCTCTTCATAGCTGTTTATGCCTCTGGATGAACACTTGTGCAATCTGACTTATGATGATATGGGTGGCTCTATCTTGCCCAGATTAACTCCGTAAGAGCAACAACCTCATTTCCCTATATTCCTAGAGCCTAGAACAGTGGCTAGGATACTGCAAATTTACTCAGTGTTGGGGGTGAAGAGAGGGCCCTCCACATGCATGCCCTCCAAGCACTGGAACCCTCCTTGGCAGAAGCCTGGAAATCCCATGAGCCCTGATGCTCCTGCAGGGCTACAGTGTGGCCATGGACACTGTCAGTCTGAGGGGCAACAGATGGGATATCAACATACCAAATGTGCCCCTCACTCTCTCCTTAAACCTTTCTCATTTGTTCTATGGACCGAAGAATGTAACACCCCATGATGAACTGTAATTTGGGGTCCAGTTAAAATGGAAAATCTTCAAGAGAAATTGTATTCACTTATAACCTGGAAACAACTTTCTACTGGTCAGTGAAGGCAGTTTTAATCTAGAAAGAGCCTCTGGGACACTGGACACCTGAGGCAGAAGGTTGAGAAAAGAACTAGACCCAGGAATTGTTAATTTGAGGTCTGTGGATGGGCCTTAGGGGGTCCAGGATCCCAGAATTATACTAAAAGCTTTGCATGTTGATTCCCGAGTCTGTTTCTCTGGAGTGAGATTCCAGCACTTTCACTGGATTCCCAGAATGGGTCTGGGACTCTAAAGAAAATGAGAAAAGATAGAGAAGGTGGCGATAATGGGCCACGTGCACCCCAGCTTCCCTGATGTCTCAGTATATCTCTTCATACCTGGACCTACAGGTACCACTGGCTGGCCTAAGACAATGTGGAAGAAAAGAACTAAGGAAGGCGGCAGGGCAAAGGCATGGGAAAGGGCTGGGGAAGGGCAGCTAAGACAAAGGGTAAGAATGCTGGGCAGCAGATACAGAGATAAGAGGGGCCCTGTGGCTCAACCCCCTTGTTTTACAGATAAGGAAATGGACGTCCAGAGAGGCTAGGTGGCCCCAGCACTCTGGGGTCAGCCAGGGGCTTCCTTGCCAGAGAGTGTCCCTGCTCTAGGACATCTCTACGGCCTCACAGTCTGTTCATTAAACAATAGATAAGCTCTCAAGGAAAGGCCAGCAGTGGTGCTGCTATCTGACTATTTGGGTGGTAGCTATGGGCCACTGCATTGCTGGGACTTGGCATCTGGAATCATTGCTTAGATGTGAAGAAGGCAAACATTCCTCTGAGGATATGTGAATGCATCGTTCTTTGATGACCCCAGGTCTAAAAGGCTTAAGATGCTAACCATTAGTTCATTCATTTCACATTTACTAAGCACTTACTGCATGTGAGGCAGTTGTGGCTAGAGAGAGGAGCAAGGTGGGGGTCCTCACTCTCGAGGAACTTATGCTGTGGGAATACTGAAAGACATCCCCTGTTTCTGCTGTTACAAGAACTTATCGTAAGTTCTTGATAAGTTGAGTGGAAGGATTAGATGAGTGGAAGGAAGCAAGGCCACTTGGGACCACAGTGTGATAAATCTTGGACACCAAGACTGAGGGATGGCTCTGGATTCTGCCACAGAAAGAGGTTCAGGGGCCTCTGGCTGGCAGCATCTGTACTGCCCTAAAGATCGTGTATCCACCTGGGGACCTTCTGTCTTTGCTACCAGAGACAAGGAATCCCACAACTCCATGTGCCACAGAGACCTTACAGCTGGAGAAATGATGGACACCACCACTGATGTTTGGCTCCAGAGGTTTCCCTTTTGCTTTCACCTGAGAGTCCTAAGGTGGCTTTAGTGTACTCCCTCAGCCAAGGTGCAGCAGGCCTGGGAAGGAAGCAGGTCTCTGGGACTTACACACAGCTCATCTGACCCCAAAGCCTGCTCTCATGATGTTGTAACTTCGGCCTTTTCCCTCTTCGGGTTAAAAGCCCAATTTTGGCTGGAAAATTCCAACACTTTCTGGAGCCAGGTAACCTGTTAGGTCATATAAAATTGAGTTGAAAGTGAAGTGGTGGGAAACTTCTTAGAAAAATGACTGCTGTTGTTGGACAATCCCTGACTGGCCCTTTCTGCCTCCTCCACAACTTGAAGCCAGACTTCTCATGAGAAAAACTATGGTTTGGGTGTCAGGCAACCCCAATGCAATAAGGATCTGGGGGATCAACCCCCATTCAATAGGCCGGTGGTGGGCCTCTGCTCCCCAAATACTGCCCTCCACTTTATCCCATGGCCTGATGCCTTTAATGATCAAGAAGTCTTTTAAGACAGTCATTTCTCACTGTGTTTCAAAAAAACTTCTGTGGGAGACTCTACCAGATGCAGCCCTCTGAGAAGACAATGGATTAGGTATCTGAGGAACCAGAGGCAACATCAGACAAGCAAAGATGCAAGCTGAGTTAAGGGCGCCCTGGAAATATGCCCAAGTCCCAGGCTTGCTGGTGGTTAGCCAATAAGTCGTGAAAAAAGGAATGATTCCACGAACCCACATGGAGCACCTCCTGGGGCAAGTGTTGTGCTAGAAGTCATGGGACCTCAGAGATAAGTGAGAAAGCTGCAGTCCTGTCTGAAGGATGACCAAGAGCTTTGGGTCTGCACACACATGTGAAATATGGGGTTTAGCAGCAGGTACCTTTCATACACCGTCAATAGTCTTCCCTATGTGGGTAGAACCCTAGGAGCTGAGGTCTCATATTGGTGCTCTCAGAACTTTTTGCTCATTCCACACAAATGGTCAGTCAGAGACTATAGCAGAGATGGAAACTACTGGTGGAAAAGGAATTTGCCCTGAAGGCAGTCCAGGCCAACCACACAATGTGTATCTATCTGCATTCTTCTTGTTGGTTTGTATCACTCCTGCTCCAGAACAGGAATTTTCCAGGGAATCACTTGGAAGCTTGCAAGGGAGAACAACTGGAACCTCAAGTGTCATGACTCCAGTGCCAGGGGATGGAAATCATATCACTGAATATGCACATGGGTGAACCTTCCCTGCTTTTAAGTGACCACTGACAAGTGACCTTCCCTGAATCTTATGTAAGTGGTTCATTTTTTAAAGGGAGATAACCATATTATTAGAAGATCACAGATTTCTTTCTAGTCCTGATACCCTGTGTCTCCTTGATGTAGAAGTTCATGGGCACTTCTGCATGTCTTTCTAGAGAACTGTGATTCTCATAAGATGTCCTGGCCAGCAGCACCTTCTGCTTGCTTATCTTACTGCCTCTCATGTCTAGAAAGTAAACTGAATGTCTGAATATAGTACCCTGCTCAGACAGGTTCCTAATAAATGTTTATTTAGTGAAACCCTCCAAGACTCTGATTTATATAGTGCCTTGGCAGTCAAAAGCAAGAGTAGTCCAAGACCCATGTCAGAGAGAAAAAGAAGAGGGGTGTTTATACCAGGTAAGAGATGACTCAGGCAAGGAGAGGAAGAAGTAGACTTATCATGGGAAATCAGTGAGGCAGAACTGGATGAGAAGGGAAACGTGGAGGAGGAAGAACTGAGCAGGTAAGATGTTGTGGGAAAGCAGGAGTCAGACTTTTGAGTGGAGAGAACCAAGAAAGAAGGCTGGATCAAGATGAATTTGGGGCTGGGCATGGTAGCTTATACCTGTAATCCCAGCTCTTTGGGAGCCCAAGGTGGGGGGATTACAGAAGTTTAAGACCAGCCTGGCCAACACGGTGAAACCCCATCTCTACTAAAAATACAAAAATTAGCTAAGCATGGTAGCGAGCGAGTGCCTGTACTCCCAGCTGCTCAGGAGGCTGAGGCAGGAGAATCACTTGAACCCGGGAGGCACAGGTTGCAGTGAGCTGAGATCTGACCACTGCACTCCAGCCTGAGTGACAGAGCAAGACACCATCTCAAAATAATAATAATAATAATAATTAATTTGGAAGCCTTGCAGACAACTGGAAGTGAAGAAGGATTTTTAGCAGAGGATTGACATGATGAAAGCTGAGTCGAAAAGCTATCTGGCAGCAATGTGCAGAACACAGTGAAACAGAAGGTCTGGTCTTGGGAGTTTACAATGGGGAATAAAAGCCAGACAAAGCTGGAGACAGTGCAAACTCAGGCAACAGGTTTGTAGCAAGCATATATGAAGGCCTGGACACTGTTCTAGAATTGGAATACAGTCAAGAAGGAGAGACACACAGATCCCCATCCTTGGGGCATTCACCTTCTAGGAGGAGAGGAAACAGACTGAAGAATTTGACTTTTTATGAATTAATGCCTCATTTTACCCTGTAAGAGGTGTGAGGAAATTTACAAAAATACATCCACTCAGAATGATAAAAATAAGTGATTTTACCTATTGCCCTTGACAACATCCTCTCTTTAGATAAAATGGTGAGTTCCCTATGGCTGACCTTACAAATTGCCTAGCACCAAAGCAAGGCTAGACAAAGGTATTTGCAAAAAGAACACAAGTGACTAGTTCCCAGTGTGTAGCTCCGTGAAGGTTTTGGCAGTTTGATTCAGATACAGAGTAATGGCAGCAAATGGGCAGGAGTCTCAACTGGGCTCATGGAGAGATGGTTTGTTTGGCATCATGCCTGGTTCTTTGAGAGGAGGGCTGTGCTCTAGAATGTGCCACAGTCCATCCCCCACCCTCCACATTCATGTCACCTGTGTTGCCCTTGAAGGCATTAGAGCTTGGGACTGCCAAGAGAGGATGGAGGGTCCACCAGGAATTCCAACAGATTTTTCACAACAGAGGTTTTTGAGAGCAATTAATTTTAAAAGAGTTTGAGGTGGGGGTAATTTTTGGCAAAGAGGGAAGCCATGAATTTGCCTGCAACTGACCACTGAGCTATGCTTTGATCATGAATAGAGTAGAGGGTAGGGTTAAGGCCTATTATAAAAATTTATAAGCCAGAAGATTTAAAAAAATACAGGGACATATCTTGAGACGGGGACACAACATTTTTAGGGACCATGCCTAGAACTTTGTGACTGGATATGGCTAGGCTGGGATGGAGAGGGATAACATAGGAAAGTAAAGGGAAAAGGGAAGTACAAAATAAGATTTCGAGGATGGACGATGGGGCAACGATGTATAAGAAGGTTAGGGCTCAAATCACTTAAGGTCAGGAGTTCGAGACTAGCCTGGCCAACATAGTGAAACTCCATCCCTACTAAAAATACAAAAATTAGCTGGGCATGGTGGTGCATGCCTAAAATCCCAGCTACTTGGGAAGCTGAGGCAGGAGAATCGCTGGAACCCGGGAGGTGGAGGTTGCAACGAGCTGAGATCGTGCCATTACTGCACTCCAGCTTGGGTGACAGCGCAGGACTCTGTCTAAAAGAAAAAAAAAAAACCAGTTAGGGCAAAGAGAGAAGGTCAGGAGGAAGTTGATGGATTGGGTTTTAGACGTAACTGTGGAGTAATGGTGAAATATCTGCATAGCGGAGTTCACTAGGAAGTCAGCTCTTCAGAGATGGAGAGGACAGGGCCAGGAAGGGACTAGGGAGAGGTGCCCTCACAGAGGTAAGAGCTGATGACAGGAAAATAATGAGAATAATGAGTTCTCAAAAGGAGAATAAAGCAGAGAGGGTAAGTGCTTTAGGCTGGAGAGATGTTCATGGTCTGGGGGGCTGACAGAAGAAGAACACCTGTAAAGGATTAGAAGAAACAATGGGAGAAGCCTGCCACAACCATCATTGGAGAACAGATACAAGGAGTAGGAGTGGCCAAATGGGTCCAATGCCACAGAGTGAGATCAAGAACAAACATAGAGGGGGAAGAGGTATGGATCAGGCAGTAGAAAGGTCATGTGTCAGCTCTGAGACAGGTATTAGTGCGATCAGGCAGAAGTCGGGAGATAAGGAAATGGATAGGAAAAAGATGCATTTCTATAGGAGTTGGGGTGTGAACAAGGAATGGGCCAGGTTTGCTGGAAAGAATAAGAGGGAGTGCAAGCTTAGCACCCAGCCCTTAGATCCAGGGTAGCTGGGTCTATTTCCCTGCTGGGCCAGTACCCTCCATGCTAAAAGGTGGGATTTAGCAGGGTCTGGATATGCGAGGCAGCACTTCTGCCATGCCAGGGCCTGCCTCCCTCTCTGTGGAAGGCTAGGGTTAGGGCTCTGGCTGTACTAGGGGATCTGGGAGTCCTTCATGGCACTATGGGACCCAGAATGTGTTCAGACCCCCAGATCACCAGGACACCTAGGCTCTGCTGTGTCTCCATAGGCCTTTGCCCTGACTTAGGCTGAGGACTTTGGGTATAGGACTGGCATTTCCTTATGCTGAGGTTGGTGAGGCACTGAATGAAGATATTAGTAGGCTCCATGTAGCACAGGCACACAGCCCTGGTGCATCAAGTGGTCAGAGACCCTGCTTAGTGCCAGGCCAACGTGGAATGCCTGAGCAGGCAGAGAACACTCTGCAAATAACAATGGTGGGACCCAAGGAAATGACCCTCAGAAGGCAGGGGAGATCCAGGCATTTGAGATGTCTGAAATGCATAGTACCTGATGACTGTGTGCATGTGTGTGTACATTTGGGGGTGAGAGGAGGGTATTATTGGCTGAGAGAATGTATAAACAGCCTCTATGAAGTTCTAGGACCTTCCTATATTCCTGTACTGCTATTTGAAGGCATCTGTTCAACTGACCTGTGTGGCCCATTAGAATGCCCCACTGAACAGGAAAACCAATGTGCAGTCAGTAGAGAATCTCAAAGGACATTTCCAGTTGTGGCACTCAGAAGTCCATAAAGCTTAATCCTTTAAAAGGAATCATTCTAAATAGCCCAGGAGTGAACATAAATGAAAAGTCCATGAGTGTGGAGAATAAATCCCATAATAGGTAGCAAAATGGCATGATAAAGAGCATGGGCTCTGGAGACAGACCCCCTAGGCTCCAATTCCAGCTGTGTCACATACAAGCTGGGTGCCCTAGAGCAAGCTGCTTAACTTGCTAAATGCAAGATTTTAAGTGTTTTCTTTCTTTGTAAAAAGAAACTAAGAGGTTTTAAAAGTTCTTGCCTACTTTTCTTTGCATAACTTATGATGATTCTGAGGGAGCATCTTTTCTATGCCAGTGAATCACCATAGTCCTTTATAAATGTGCATCAGCTTCCAACATCTTATACTCTTAGCTTTCAATGTTGCGAAACACCTCTGAGAGTTCCTTTAATGTGAAGTTTTTTGCTGGCATCACCTCCTGTGGGACATCTTCATCCTTTTTTCACAACCACTTTCCTCATTTATGTTTTGAACAATGGTTTCAGGTTTCATCAATCTAAATCGAAACTTCAAGGGTCCCGGCTATCAGAAAGTCACATAGAGCTTACTCAGAATGATGTCAAATTCCGCTTTAGACATTTAAAACCTCAACCTGTTAAAAATAGCTTGTCATCAGCAAAGGAACCAAATGATAACAGTCACAGGCTGACTTTTTAGTCTCAACTTATATATATTAAAAAATGACAACAAAACTGTTCAACATAAGCATAGGCATTTTCAGTGCCCTGCACCCAAGCATTAATGATTAGTTAAATGGTAGAATAATATAAACAAAATGATGAAGCAACTGGATAAATTCAACTATGTTGTAAAATTTTTGTAGTTGCCAGAAATCAGTCTTTGAACTTTAAGATCTCATATAGCTCAGAGGAGAAATACAATTACATATTCCTTAAGAATCTGATGAAAGTTATGGCCTTTCTCCCCTAGAATGTGCACATGAGCTGATACAGTATTTTATGCAGTGTTTCAGGGAATCCACAGAGCCCCTGATATCCAATTAGAAGCCCTGGCTATGAATCTAGAATTTTATTAATAGGTGAAACCCAGCCCATGTCTGTTTGAGAACCATTGCAAGTCCTGAAAATTGTAGGCACTATCTAAATAAAGGCAAACCTTGGAGCATGTCATCTGCCACCGAAAAAGCATTTAATGATGCATCTTTCCTCACTATACAAGTTTGTTTAACCTACACCTCTTCAGCTACAAACTACCTACCATCCTGGAAACTCTGTTCTAAGAGTAAAGGTATTACAATACCTTGCTGAAAAAGACAGACTCAACGGCATGTTGTTGAAAAACACAGGAGAACCAGCACATCAAACTGAAAATCAGTTGGCTTGCACAGGATGTTAGCGGCTCTTTGAATGAGGTTACTGAGTGGCACCTGAGCCTATTGCTGTGGCATCCTATTCCGCCTGTCCTCTCTTTCTTCCTCCTTCCCCACTCCTTTCTTTCTCTTCTCCCTTTATTCTTCCTCTGCAATTTTTTTTTCCACACTACTGTTGGCATTGGTCCCTAGGGACACTGCTAAATCCGATCCATAGTGCAAGAGATTTTAGATCTTCATTGAAGTCACTAGAGATGCCCTGAGTTAGTCACTTTGAATTCAACAGATGAACTGATGGAAGGCTCTGAGAAGACCCCAACAATGCCCGAGAAACGTGTTCTTACTGCAGACACTTACTATTTTGATCAAAAACATAATTTTGGTCAAAAGAGGGAGTTAGGGGATTGCTTTTTTTGTTTTGTTTTGTTTTTATTTTAAGTTGATTTGGCTTGAAGGGAAGATTGCCTAAACAAAACCTGCTGATGAAGTCACAAAATGACTCCACCTCTGGAATGAGCTTTGTTTTCTTATATTTTGGCAAGAAATTTTGCTTTCAATTGGGAATGCATGTCACTCTACCCACTCAAGGGCAAGATGATAAGGTTCTATCAGAACAAGTGTCTAAAGGAACCTGAGACTCTACCAAGGTCAGAAATGCTGCAATTCAAGCCAAAAGATCTTTCTTGGGCTTCCGTGTTTTGACTTGTAACCATAAATTAGTCTTGTCTAAATGTCAGATCACATTATAAAACACTAAGTGAATCTGTGCTGTACAGCACCCTTTGAAGCTGCGGGAGCTATAGATGAACCTTTTAGGGGATTCTGTAATTTTTCTGCCCCTTTGATTTCCACAGCACTCTAAATTGCCTTCTCTGAGCTAAAGGAACACAAGATGGTCTTGGAAATGCTGAACCCGATGCATTATAACATCACCAGCATGGTGCCTGAAGCCATGCCTGCTGCCACCATGCCAATCCTGCTGCTCACTGGCCTTTTTCTCCTGGTGTGGAATTATGAGGGCACATCCTCAATACCAGGTAAGTAAGACATTTTTCAACCTCTTAGGAGGTTATTTACTTGGGCTTTTGGTCGATGATGGTAAAGAAAATTTTGCAAAAGGACAAAAGCCAAACCTGGAAAGATCTCTGAAGACTATGGCCATGTTAGCAATTGAGGACTTGGGTGAAAATGTTCAGACCAATTATCTGCACATGTTAAATGAAAGTACTTGAAAAATATCTTAGATAATCCCTTCCAGTATACACTCTGCTTTGGTAAAGCAGACGTGGTACAAATACCCTTTAAAACAAGCTGAAGATGGGGTGGGGTAAAGTAAAATTTCAGGGTTTTCTGATTAACTTTTAAAAAATAGATTTTTTTAAAAAAATTTTGTTCTGAAGGTGAAAATCTCTCTGGAATGCCTTCTCTACTGCTTTCCTTCTCCCTCTCACTCTGCTGCCTCCATGTCCCCCTTTGTCTTGTATGTATCCCTTCTCTTTATTCCACTCATCATTTTCTCTTATTCTTGGGAATGTGGTAATAGTGGTCCCCATTTTTCTCCCACTGCCCGGCTCCTATAGGGTTGAATGGTATCCAGGCAGTGGGAGAAAAATGGGGACCACTCCAGTGCTCTTGGAACATCACAACCCGTTAGAATCTTCAACAAGATCTGTGGGTCAATCAAATGTGGCAAATAATATAATTATCCAGATAATCCCAATAGAAAACCCATACCCCTCCACCGTTAATGCTGCAATGATCAGATATCAGATTAATTCAGAATGATCTGAAATTTCAGACTGCTTCTTTAGTTTTCTGTGAAAATGCCTCATTGCAGACAAACCTATTCCCAATTCCATAAGACACATGATGAGACTTTAAGAGTATACTTATTAGACACTGGTAAGTGTGGTGGGCCTCATCTCAGTGGGATCCGAATGGGAGCTTGGGGCTGGCACAAAGTGCTCTGTGTCTGGATTCTCTTTAACATTCCAGATAATTGCCTGTCTCTTTGCCTGATTCAGCCTGATATTTTACATTACTTTAATGCCCAGCTTAAAGGAACATTTAGTTAATTTTGTTCTCTGCTCCCTGACAGGGTCAACTCCAGATAAGGCAGGCTCAGACCTAAGGGATGACTGCTTCATGGTCTTTAACTTGAACTCTCTTCCCCAGTGTGGCCCTTCCTCACTGGATTTCTCCTCTCCCAAGGGGGCTTCTAGGTCAGGGTCAGTGAATGGTCAGGGTGGGGTGAGTAGGTGGGGGTGTGGAACACCTTTTCCTCTTCTTCCCTTCATAGGCCCAGGTGCCGAATTCTAATTTGTCTGTATTATCAGAGAATCAAGCCAGGAGAGTCCAGCACTGCCCATGCAGCATTGCTCATCCAGTGAGCCACAGGTTCTCAAGCTTTTAGTCTATGTAAGAACACCTAGGAGGTAGGAGCTTATTCAAATTTCTGTCCCTGGACCCTGCTTCTGACTTTTTGAATCAGACTCTTCAGGCCTAGAAACATGCATTTTAAAAAAGTTCCCCAAGCTGCTAATGCTAATCAACACTGGTGGAATTTCCTGGGACCCTTGACCAAGGAGGTCAGCCTGTTGGGGACAAGCCTGAGAACCAGCAGCCCTGAAGCTCTGGATCAGTGGGAGAGTAGGCAGCACCTCACTCTGTCCACCACTTCTGGGCCAGGGTCATCAAGCTGCATCCACTGACAGTAAGAACAAGTAGCACAGTGATTCTCAGCACCCTCTGAGGTAGGTCTCAGCTAGTTTTGGGTTGCTTTAAAAAAAAAAATCTCCCCTCCTGATTTTTCATCAGCAGCCAAGGTTGAGAGCCACAGATATGAACCTAACCCCTGCATTTGACAGAAGGTGAAACTGAGACCCAGGGAGTAGATCTGCCTTGCCCAGGCAAAGTGCTATGACAAGCATGAGAAGCCATGGAGTTCAAAATCCTTATTTTACAAGTGAAGGGTTAAAGGCCAGAGAAAGGAAATGGCTTGTCAGCTCACCAGCTGGACAGAAAGTGGGAACACAGGGGGACCACCAGGAAGTCCTAAAGCCCAGGTTGATGATCATTTTGCTAGGTAGTTTCTAGTTTCACACTTTGAAAGCAGAAGGTCTAGTTAGAATCCACTAGTGGCACAGACTGTGAGATCCTGTGGTTTCTGTTTGGGGGAGGGAAGGTAAGAAAATTGGCCTTGTTTAGGGTGGTTTTGCTGATCAATGCTCCTGAGCTCCTGCCAGCTCCCTCAAATCAGTGCCTCTCTAGGTTCTCAGTTTTGAGGTTTGGGGGAAGCTCAGAGTCAAGAAAGCTCGGGACCAGTGAAAGCTGGAGGAACTTAAGAACTTATAATGATGTAAAGCCCTAAAGCAAGTTATAATTTACAAAGCAGTTGTTTCATGCCCATTTTCTCTTGTGAAGTTGGTGTGTTTGTATCTATTTTGTCGATGACAAAACTGAGACTCAAAGAGTCGCACAACTAGTAAGTGATGAAGCTGGGCTCATAACGAAGCTGCTTCTGTGGTTATTTACTGAGAAGCCCTGTTCTCCAGCTAAGGGAAGGGAGGAGGTGTGAGAAGATGAAAGAAATGCAGTTTCTGCCCCCAGGGAATTATATACAAACGGTAAAATCAGTCAGGGACACACACATAGGTGGTTGACTGGACTTAGTGCCAGGTAGGGGCTATGAAAGTCCTGAGGAAAGGGTCATTCCTATCGGGGAGGAGGAGTGGCTGGGGGGGCGGAGTTGGGAGCTTCAGTTCTGAAAAATTGCCCCCAGTCTACTGATCTGGGTCAGGACTCACAGACACCTGGCACTGGCAGCTTTCCCTTCCCCAAGGACATATAGCCATCCCCAACTCTGAACAAGGGTCCTCTCCCTCCAGATGCCACACTCTGCCCTGGGTGCCACATCCCAGAGCAGAGCATTGGGGTGGGGGAGCATGGCAACTAACATTCCTCTTTTTCTTGTTAAGACAATATTTCACAGAAAAGTGCACAGTGCAGTGATAAATTTGCCATCACAGGGCAGCCCGATAAGAGGATGTTATCCTTGTTCCAGAAGCTCCTCGTGTGCCTTTGCAATCACTCTCTCCCTCACTCCAGAGCAAAACACTGTTTTTGAAATACTCTTTGATTTTGTGACAGTCACTCCCTTGCTTTTTTTTATAATTTTGCCATATAATTTCACATCCCCAGACAATACAGGTTAATTTTGCCTTGTTTTAAACATTTTAGCAGTCAATGCATACATTATATATTCTTTCATCTTGCTTCTTTTGCTCAACAGTATAGTTCTAGGATTCATCCACATTGCAGCATGCAGGCATAGTTCATTTTCATTGCCATAGGTATTGAGTTATATAAATATCTCATGGTTTAATTGTCAGTTCCTTTGCTGAGAGATACTTGAGGTGTCTTTAGCTTGGGGCTATTGTGAACAGGGCTGTTCTGAATGTATATGTGCACACAGGTTTCTCTATGGTGTTGGACAGCTGGGGAGAGGTCCCAGCTGTTGGCTCCAAGGAGGTTGTCTCTGTACAAAAGTGCAGCAAAGTATTTACTGCTCCTTTTAGGGTATGAAAGAGGCTCCCACAATCACTGCCTGCCTAGATAAGCATTCCCAAATCTGAGAAGCAGAGAGCAGCTTAATATGGATACGACCAGAATATTTCCCTAATATTTTACCAAAGTCTCTACCTTCCTCCAGCATTCTCCTCTCCAGCTGGTGGGTGGGTGGGGGACATAAGATATACACCTAAATGAAAAGGTAACACTGTATTAAAATTCTTTTATTTTGTAATTCTTTTTCACACACTTTCCTCTCCTGCCGCTAGACTCTGATGGGGACCATTATACTTATAAAGTCTCCAGTCCCCAATTTGGAGTTAGTGTCTATAGCAGTAGTATCTATACCAGTGTTTGCTGGATGAATTAAGCTGATATACAACTAGTCGCTAAGAATTCAAAACTCTACTTCTCTTCTGGTTAGAACATTCAGGTTCTTAATCTAAGCACAGGGTTCAATCTCCCTTTTTCAGTAGATACATCTCTCCTGCGTCATAGCTTACATTTGAATGGCAGGTCACAAATTTTAAGATTTTTTACATGGTGGGCTGGGTGTGGTGGCTTATGCCTATAGTCCCAGCTACTTGGGAGGCTGAGGCAGGAGAATCTCTTGAACCTGGTAGGCAGAGGTTGCAGTGAGCTGAGATAGCACCCATGCACTCCAGCCTGGGCCATAGAGCGAGACTCTGTCTCAAAAAAAAAAAAAAAAAAAAGGATGACATTTAAAACTTCATCCTTTATATTAGATAAACATGCCTAATTAATTTTTGAAATTTATTCAGGAAACATTTGTTGAACATCTACAGTGTGACAAGCTATAAATATCCAGTAAGGTATTATATTATGCAAATATTAATTGATTAAAGGTTGATATATCTAATGACAGTTTAAGGAAATACATATTCAATCAAATCTGCTATGGAAATCTTTTAAAGAGCTTAATGGAATTATTTTAATACAAAGTCAGTCATCTACTGTATAATGTAGTGTTACTAAAATAATCACAAGATTAGTAACCTTAGACCATATTTTGGTTCCACAGGTATTAACAAAGATCATCTATTTAAAGGGAAAAAAGAGCTGACAGTCTTACTCATATTAACTCAGCTATTGCAAAGTAAAAGACTAAACACTATTTGCTGTGTTTGGGACTAAACATCCAATTCAGATGATTCAAGCAAAAGCTTATGCTATGTCAACCAGGGCACTCAAATTGAAAGTTTCCAGAAAAAACTAGGCACCAAACAGATCTGCTGGCTTGTCACTTGTCAGTGTTTCCGTGTTTGCTACCAAACACACCAATTGACTTGTATTCAGAACTCACTAACACCAGTTAACATGGGAAGAAATTAACACACACACCCCAGTTCATTCAGACTGAAATGATTGAGACCAAATAAAACTAGTGCAGCGTGGCCACTGAACTCCTTTTTACTCATGGAGGGGAGAAGTGCCTCATGTTAAGCATGAGGCTTTTGTTTTGTTTCACTTTATTCGTGATTCACAGATACACATCAGAGATAAAGAATATTTAGCTATAAAAGAAAAAAAAAACAGGAGCAACATAAAGCAGTTGCTATTTTTGGTATGGCTAAGATGCTTACTGTGCTGTGATTCCTGTCCTAGGTCCCGGCTACTGCATGGGAATTGGACCCCTCATCTCCCACGGCAGATTCCTGTGGATGGGGATCGGCAATGCCTGCAACTACTACAACCGGATGTATGGAGAATTCATGAGAGTCTGGATCTCTGGAGAGGAAACACTCATTATCAGCAAGTGAGTCTGTTCATAATCAAAGACACACTTTTTAAATTGATGCTGGAGATTTTTCTACTTAGGACAACTTAATTTTGAATCTTGATGTGTTTGTTTCTGACACTATATTTTTACCACTGAAATGAAGATGAGCAATCCCCGGAAATCTAACATTGCAAACAGAATAATTGGGTTTTGCTTGAATTGAAGCCAGTGGTACATAAATAAAGAACTCTGGAAAGTTGGGAAATTATTTAAAATCTCTGTGATCCATGAATTTGATTTTGATAAAACATACTCTTTTCTGCTTTTCTAAGTTTTTTGGTCTTAACCACAAATAAACATTAAAAAGAGCCAAGCCAAACAAAGAAAAACAACCATAAAAAACAAAAATAAAGACCAAGACACCACTGCACTACAGTCTGTGTCACAGAGCAAGACCCTGTCTTTTTAAAATGAAATAAAACCTGAGACAGAGGTATCTGGTTAGCAATTTGCTACTCTCCCGCCAAGCAACTGAGCACCTCTAAAAGAGTAGACAGTAAGCTGACCTTGGCTGAATCCGATTAAAGAAAAAAAAGGAAAAGAAATAAAAGAACGGACAGTAGAAAAAGAAGTCATTCACATGCTGCTCTCCCATTTATGACTTTATGCCAGTGTCCCAGCGGAATGATCTTACATAAATCAGGAACAATGTTACCCATTTAAAAAAATGGTGTCCTCCCAACAACAAATGGTTGTTATATTTTGTGGATAACAAGCAGATTGAATTAGTTCTATGGTTAACCAAATAGGAATTGACTGTAAAGAACTAGTTTGGTAGAATGCTTGTTTTCTTGTTTATTGATCTTAGAAAATGGAGAATTTCAAAGACGGCGTATTTCCCTAGAAATACTATCTTTAGTTGACTTTTAGCAAAGCTATCTGCAAACATTGTCTCAATACCTCCGTATATTTGTAATCCATAACAGAACTTCACCCACAAACTAAAGCTGACCAGGGTGTCTTCCAATTTGTTAGAATTATTCATTCAGATACAAAGACTATAGCTCAAAAGTAAGTGAAGCTTTTCTAGAAACTACATAATTTTTTCAGGTCAAGATTGCATACATAAAATACATGTCGTAAACTACTACATCTTATAAAATACCATGATATCCTCAAAGCCCAAATATTTGAAGCAGATACTGAAAGAAGGGAGTGGGGGAGAAATCAGTATTATATGAATACTTCCAAATATTTCAAACTACCCCAAAATTTTTTGGGGCCTGGGCTTTTTTGGTTTGTTTCATTCAGTTTTGTGTTGTACCACTTTTAAGAGTAGCCAAGACAGACCTCACTTACACAACTAAACAGAAATGGCTTCAGGTGAAAACATTATTTCACTAGGTTTATTGTGAAATACTCTAATGCAGTTGTTTTCAAAGTGTGGTCCCTCAAGGAACAGGATCAACAATCCTGGGAACTTGTTAGCAATGCACATTCTTGGCCGCCCCACTAAGTGAGACAGTCTGAGGTAGGACACACAATCCGTGTTTTTTTGTTTTTGTTTTTTGTTTTTTTTGAGACAGAGTTTCGCTCCTGTCGCCCAGGCTGGAGTGCAATGGCATGATCTCGGCTCACTGCAATCTCCGCCTCCCAGGTTCAAGCGATTTTCCTGCCTCAGCCTCCTGAGTAGCTGGGATTACAGCATGCGCCACCACGCCTGGCTAATTTTGTATTTTTAGTAGAGACAGGGTTTCTCCATGTTGGTCAGGCTGGTCTTGAACTCCTGACCTCAGGTGATCTACATGTAGGTGATTGTGTTGCACACCTGAGTTTGAAAACCACTGTTCTAAGAACTAGATCATAATTAATTACTTTTTTATTTACTTCTCCTGGTCTATTAGGCTGTAATCAGCCAAACTGAAGTGAGTATAATATGTTTTTGATATGTTCTCATTTTAAAAATCAGTACTTGAGTCACTTTTACAATTGGTTACAGTCTCACAAATATCCTGGAAGCACTGGTGTTTGGGTTTGGGGATAGGGACATTTGCTAGCTGCTCTTTCATTTCCCCGCACAGCCACCTGCCTTCCAGCTCTACCCAGCCCAGAGTCTGCTTTCCCCATCACCTCTTTCCCTCAGCAGACAGGTGAAATGACCCCCAGATATTTATTTAGAAGTATATCTACCTGCAGTCCAAGATCTAGCACAGTGCCTCTCACCCTGGCTGTACCTTACAGCCACCCAGGGAGCTTTTCAAAGCCCCACTGCCCAGACCACACCCCTACTTTTAGTTCAGAACCTCTCGGGGTAGGACCCAGACATCAGTAGTGTTTAATAATCCCCAGGCAATCCAAGGGTACCGCTGAGTTTGAGAACATTCCATCTAGAGAGAGGGTGGAGGAGGAAGCTCCTCGGGCAGGAGGGCCTCTCCTCCGGGTGAGGGGAAACAATGATGCAGGTTTGGTTTTGTCTTATGCTAAGATGGTGGAGGTGTGAGACTAGAAATGGAGTAAAGAATGATGGACTTGAGAAAGGACCACAGTACCCAGGCAGAAATCATTTTGAGATACTAGATATTTCTATGCTAGATTCTTAGGTCTCCAGCAAAATTCCCCAAATTTCCAAAGACAATTCCTGAAAGTGGTTGTTTCTTACAGTGGGGGGTGGCATCTGACCACTCTGCTTGTCTTAATTAGGAAAGTGACTCCAACAACCCCCACCAAGTCCAGGCTGGTGCACAACGAGACGCAGCCATAACCCACCCACCCTACCTCCAGCTCTCCTAGTTCTTTCTTTGTTCTGCCCTCTCAGGCTTTCCACTTGTCAGAGTCTTTGTGTTCTCCTTAATTGCCTCAGAGCAGCTCAACTTTGCTGTTAAAGGCTGAGCTCCCCTCGGGAATAGGACATATTTTTCCCCATCTCCTTTCCTTGCCTGCTTTTCAAGTCTCTTCCAGAATTCCCCGTACCTCTTGAAAAGACCCCATTGGACCTCAGAAAGATTTTTATTTTTATTTGAATAGTTTGCCAGATTTTTTTCTTTAGAAAAGTTTGAGGTCTATAGTCATTACAACTGTGTAGAAATTATGGTGCAACTTTTCCTCTAGCTTTGTCCCAAAGTAGTGGGGGGCTGCAGAACTTCAGGGGAGAAATCAGGCATGCGCACTGCTGAGATGCCGCCTGGGCCACTGGGGGCCTTGGAGGTATGGTCCATCTGGTGAGCTATAGATGATGGGTTCAGGGTTCCCCCAGGCAGTTACCCAGCAGCTGTGCTCTAAATTAATGAGGGTCTGTAGGTGCCGCATATGACACCATATGTCCACTATATGTGCCTAGATTGCTTTTTGTAATGAATATAAAAAAAAATTGTAGCACTCATAAAGGGAAATTAGCAATTAGCATGCTAATCTGGGTTAGATTTGCATGTCTGTCAGCAATTAACATACTAAGTAGGGTTATATTTTTACCCCTGTCTTGATGTGCAAATTTACACATCATTTACAGGGGTTTCCTTCATTTATTCTTTGAACATACATTTACTGAGAATGTATTATATACTAAGCACTGAATGATTCTAAGTTATAATAGTCATTACTGGCTCTCCATTCATCCATTAAATATTTATTGAAAACGTACTATGTATAGCAGGTATTGTTCTAAGCTCTGGGAATGCAGCAGTAAACAAACCAGCCAAAATTCCTTACTCTCATGGAGCAATATGTTGTTAATTATGTCAACAATAAACAAGTAAAATATATAGTGTATCAGCAGGGTGACCAATTGTTTCAGTTTGCCTGGGACCAGGGCATTTCCGGGATGCGAGACTTTGAGTGCTGAAACTGGCGTAGTCCTGGGCAAACCAGGATAGTTGATCACACTATTATCAGGCAGAGAGGTGTTACATAGAAAGAGAGTAGGGAAGGAAGATGGAGGAGGACCAGTTGTGGAGACGAAAGTGTGATTGTTAATAGGTGGTTCAGGCAGCCTTCACTGAGAAGATAGCATTTAAATAAACACCTAAAGGAAATGAACAAGTAGCCCATGCAGAGACCTGGAGGAAAAGCATTCTAGACATAAGGAACAGCAAGAGCCTGAGTGGAAGAATACTGGAGATGAGTATTTACCAGCAAATCATGTCAGTCCTTGCAGGCCATTGTAACAACTCTGGCTTTTACCCACTGTGAGAAAGGAAGCCATTGAAGACTTTGAGCAGAGGAGTGACACATGACTCATTTATGTTTCAGCAGAATCATTCTGGCTGCTCTGTTGAGAACAGGTGCAAGAGGACAAGGGATGAGGACAGAGAGACCAGTTAGGCAAGAGGTGATGCTGGCTGGTCCAGGTGGTAGCAGTAGAGATGACAAGAGATGAGGGAAACTTCTGGACATATTTTGAAGGCAAAGCCAACAAACTTCCTGACAGATTGGATGTAGGGTGTGAGAGAAAAAATAAAGAGTTAAAGTGCTGTCCAGTTTTACATTGAATGGAGACATCATGTCCTGAGATAGGTGGAGCAAGTCTGGAAGGGGGAAGGATCAGGGTTCCATTCCAGACATGTTAGATTTGACATGCCCAGTCGACACTTGAGTGGGATGATGAGTAGAGAGGACTGAACCTTGAGACCCTCGAGTGTAAATAGGTCAGAAACTAGCAACAGAGACTGAGAAGGAACAGCCAGACCGAGAAGAGAGAACCAGGAAGTGTAATGTCTGAAAGCCAGGTGAAGAATGCATATCAGGGAGTGGGAAATTGTGAGCCATGTCAAATACCACTAATGGGGCAAGGGAATGCATCGAGATTTCAGTACTGCATTTAGCAACAGGGAGGTCACAGGTGACCTTGACAAGAGCAGTTTCAATGGACTGGTGGGGGCAAAAGTCTGACCAGAAAAGAGAATAGGGGGAGAAGAATCAGAAGCAGCAAGTGTAGAGAAGTCTTCCAAGGAGTTTGCCAAAAAGGAGGCAGGAAATGGGACAGTAGCTGAGAGGAATGTGTGGGCAAATGAGTTTTGATTTTTAAAATAGGAGATATCACAGCATGTGAGTTGTAGAGGGAATGGTAAATTATGAAGGAAAATCAAATGATTGTTGATGAAAGAGAAAGAAAGGGTGTGCTAGGTGAGGTGTGAAGAGGTCCCTGGGGACAAGTGGATGGGTTGGCCTTGAATAGGGACATGGAATTTCCATAGTAATTGGAGGGAATGTGGAATATATGGGCACAGGTCCTGGTCATTGGGGCTTGTGGAAATGTTCTTGTAGTTGCTTCCATTTTTTGGGAAAATAGGAAAAGTCTTCAGCTGGAGCTGAGTGGGGAGAATATAATAGTCATCTAGAAGAGTGAGAAAGTGAATGGACTGGGGACATGCAGTAGAACTGCCAGCGGCACTAAGGGCCCACTTGAATTTAACCGAGAACCTGTCAGCAGGCGGGTGTGGGCTCACGCACGCACATGCATGCACACATGGTTTTTCTTTTTTTTCCCAACCCAATCCAACTGCCAGGTGCTAACATAGAATAGGCTAAGAGTTGGATTTGGCTGGAGTTGTTGTTTTACCAGGCAACCTTGACAAAGTAACAAGAGGGTCAAGGGAGTTGAGGATTCAGGGAAGGGTATTCTAACTTTAATGATTGACAATGATTTTTCCCAATTTTCTATTAAGAAAATTATCAAATGAATAGGAAAATTGAAAGAACATCTCCCCACCACACTTTTCCCCCTATGACACTGACTTTTTGAAGAGACCAGGTCAGTTATGAGATATCCCACATTCTGAATTTCTCTCACTGTTTCATCATGGTGTCATTTACTGTATTCATCTATTCCCTGTATTTCTTATAAATGGAAAATTGGGTTTAAAGACTCAATTAGATTCAGGTTGCACATTTTTGCAGTAACACTTCAGTAGTACTAGGAACTTCATATTACATCACATTGGAAGATGCCTAACGGGTTGTCCCACTAGCATTGACGTTAAATTTGATCAGTTGGTTAGGTGATTACAGTAAGATTCGTCTTTTATAAAGATTGTTTATCTCTTATAATCACCTAGAATTTAAGCTGGGTAAGTGAGGATATTAGAGCAGTGAAGGACAGTCAAAAGGTGATAGGATTGATGGAACAGAATAGGCTTGCATGAGGCAAGTGTTCTTAAATGTTTGTCACCAGCCAGGTGCAGTGGCTCGTACCTATAATGCCAGCACCTTGGGAGATGAAGAAGGTCAGGAGTTTGAGACCAGCCCGGCAAACATGGTGAAAACCCATCAGTACCAAAAATACACAAAAAAATTAGCTGGGCATGGTGGTGGGCACCTGTAATCTCAGCTATTCAGGAGGCTGCGGCACAAGAATTGTGTGAACCTGGGAGTTGAAGGTTGCAGTTAGCTGAGATTGCACCACTGCATTCTAGCCTGGGTGACAGAGATTCTGTCTCAAAAAAAATGGCACGAATTATTTCATTAATTGCCTCCTTATCACTGTTAAACCTGCCCACAAGTGTGTGAATTGTTTAAACCCAGAACTCAGGTGGCTTCCTCCTCCTCACCTAAGAGCTTACTCTCTGGCTACTTTTCATTTTGAATAGACAATAGGTTTGCCATCTTTGGAGGTGTCTTTTGCCCTCAGTCACGCTTAATGAGGAAAAATGACCCTAGTAACCAGACACGCAACACTATGCACTGTCCCTTCTGAGGTTGGGGACTCAGTTGGACTCTCCCCAGTGGTAAGAAATCCTCTCTTTCCCAAATAATCAGTATAACACTTGCTTCCAGCAGTGTTGCTGGCTGGCCCACAAGCCAGAGCCAGGCCTGTCTTGACTGCCCAGAGGAGCTCTGGTCTGGGGTCCTTAGCTCATCGCTGACCTTCCCTTCTTCGCTTTTCTAATTTATTCTGGTTAGATAAATCCAGCTTACTTTTAGAAACAATTTTGTTCTAAATTGCTGTTCTGTAGCCAGTCATCCATCCCCTTGCTTTATCACTTCTGCCTGATTAGCTTTGTGCCTTGACAAGTCTGAGCTTTGGATTCAAAATAGCTGAGATGTTGGTGCCCCCTAAAGGACACATGAATTTTAAAGTTTGGCTTTTTATTATTAATAACTAGCAAATATTTACTTGGGTTTGTTTTATGTTTGGAGTTTCTTATTCTCATCTAAAAATTGATTAGCAAGTTTTTTAATGAAATGGACAGGCCAATATGATTAATACAGGAAGCAAAAGCCCTAGGTTCTGAGCAGAAAAATATTGCTCTGCTTGTCCTCTGAGTGCTTAAAATTTTTAGATATGAGTTTGTGAACAAAGAATATAAAAATTCCTTACTTTCTGCTTTAATTATAGAATGATGGAGGGGAAGGTGAATAAAGCTAGAATTTTCAAACATTTTAATTCATAACAATTTCATTCCTTCCTATGGCATAATTTTTCTATAGATGACAAAATTTGAACCATCAGACAAATTAATTCCCTAGAATACAAATGGAAGCCTCTGGATTTTTATTTTTGTTTTTGTTGCTAGAGAGAGGCAAACATGTCCAAAATTTAGGATTATTTGATGAATATTATCTGGAATCAGATCAAGAGAATGTTTAATAGTGTTTTGATTTGAAAATAGGGTTTTTTTCTGAAATAAATATTGAGTAAACAGTTATTTATATAATAATAACTCTGCTTTTTTTTTTTTTTTCTGAGACAGGACCTTGCTCTGTTACCCAGGCTGGAGTGCAGTGGCATGATCATGGCTCACTGCAGCCTCAACATCCAGGGCTCAAGCTATCTTCCTGCCTCAGCCCCCCAAGCAGCTGGGACTACAGGCAAATACTACCATGCCCAGCTAATTTTTGTATTTCATATAATAATGATTCTGTTCTGACTTCTTGACACTACCATTATTTCAGGGACTTACTTTTAAAGCTTAAATAGGACGATGGAACACATCCCAGATGTGAGAACTGGATTAATACTGAGCCCACAACCTAATCCATTAAACCAGAGCAGCACATTTTTGTCCTAGAGTCCTCTGGGAATGTATTTCAGCAGGCATTAACTGAACAACCTCACTAAGGCAAAGGTATCCTTTTATGAGCCAAGTGTCAACTAGCAGAGGGAGGAGCAAGAGTCTCTCCAACCCGTCTGAGAACCAGTTGCAGATATTATAGTAACTACGTCTAATCTTTGAGGGTTATTGGTTCTGAAACCCTCCATAATAGGAGAATTTGCAGTTGTGAAACAAAATTTCAGGAGACCAGAGGGGAAGGAGGACCAAAGCTTCAATGAATACATGAAAATTTGTATAAATATTAAGTTCACCAAGAAAGTAACAATGACATCTGAAATCAAGATAATACCAATGACATCTTACGCATCTTGAATTTGCACAATTGAGCATCCTGCAAAATGCACTGTCTTACAACTCATTATATCTTATATCATGGGAGAACCCTGTAACCCTGGAGACTTTGATGAGTCATGATGGAATGCAGAGCCCCAAAATAGCTTCCTTTACTACCACAGTGAACTTGGCATGCCAGCCCAGCTAGGCCCTGGCCAAGCTCAGGGCTAGAAGTGCCCAAGGAGATGTTTTTCAAGCCCTAAATGACACTCTACTGGAGGGAACAGGCCTGATTAGAGACTGGATTTGGGTGGTAGTAGGCAAAACTGCTGGTTCCAAACTGGGAAAACAAGACTTCAGTAATTCCACAAACTTCCAATTCTGTGGCTCACTCTTGTAATGGGTGGCATTTTCTGGAGTGAGGCTGGATGATACCTGGGAGGCTGGAGGCTCTTCTGGCTCTCATGGTATGGAGGGTTCAGCTTCTTAACACCCTTGCAGCTCTGACTCCAGTAGTGGGACATATTTTGGTGAAGTTAGAGAAGAAAGAGAAATAAGGAATGGTATGTGTGAAATAAGTATGTATGTGTGTTTTCTGTCTTTTGTGATGTTCGAACAAAGAGTCAGTAGGTAGAAATGATTCAACTGGAGAAGGATGTTCTCATGCTAACAGAAGTGCTTATTCAACCTGAATACTTGAAATCATGCACATTGCCTTTGGAGCAACATGAATTTGCTAAGAGAGCTACTTCCTAGTCAAAATGTATCACCATGAGTTCTCCTGACCCTTAAAAATTGACATCAAGGTTTCTTTTCAGGTCCTCAAGTATGTTCCATGTAATGAAGCACAATCATTATAGCTCTCGATTCGGCAGCAAACTTGGGCTGCAGTGCATTGGTATGCATGAGAAAGGCATCATATTTAACAACAATCCAGATCTCTGGAAAACAACTCGGCCCCTCTTTATGAAAGGTAAGCAGGTACTTAGCTATAATCTTCTTTTTTGTCTATAAATGTGCCTTTTTTGAAATTGTATTTTTTAAAATATTTATTTATTTATTGAGATGGGGTCTGACTCTGTCACCCAGGCCAGAGTGAAGTGGCACAACCTTGGCTCACTGTAATCTCTGCCTCCCAGGCTCAGGTGATTCTCCCACCTCAGCCTCCCAAGGAGCTGGGGCTACAGGTATGCACCACCATGCTTGGCTAAGTTTTATATTTTTTGTAGAGTTGGGGTTTTGCCACATTTGAGATCGGGCTGGTCTCGAACTGCTGGTCTCAAACAATCAACCTGCCTCAGCCTCTCAAATTGCTCAGATTACAGGTGTGAGCCACCATGCCTAGTTTGAAATCATATTTTGAATTCTACTGCATCACAGCTTTCAAATAATAAAGGTGGAAGAGCTAACATACATTATACCTTTACTCTATAGTAGCCATTGTTCTAAATACTTGATATGTTTATCCCATGGCAGCCCCATGTGGTAAATGTTGTTATCACCTAAAATTGACAGAAAATGAAGGCATAAAAGGTTAAGTAACTTGCCCAAGATCCAATCATTAGTAAATGATGGCCCAGAATATAACCCCAAAGCCTGTATTTTTTAATCACCACAAATTCTTTTCTTCTTATTGATGTGCAAAGCAATTTTATGGGCATAAAGAAGAGATGAAGCTATATACTTACAGTCATTTCTGTTATGAATTTAGCATGTCACCCATATGTTTCATTTAAACATGGCCAAACAATGTGTTTGCTGAGTCCTTGACTGGCAGCCCACATGATTTAGCAGAAAGGAATCTGTGAATGAAATTAGAGAATTTTAGAACTTAGAAGGACCATATATGCTGTCTCAACTAGCCTCTGATTTTAATAGCTGAGGAAATAAAATCCCAAAGAAGTTATGATTTTCACCCAGGCAAAATAGGGAGTAATGGATGAGCTGAGATCCAGTTGCAAGCCTCCTTATCTAGGGATTTTTCCCCTTTACCTCATTATGCTGGAAACAGAACTGTTGGGGAATACACATGACTAACCCTTGACATTACTATCAAGCATAAAGAAAGATAATCATGCCCTGGAAATGTCAGTGATAGAATCTGGGGCTAGATGATTTTAGGTCTGGCCCTGTCTATGCACAGCCTTCCCTCCAGCAGCTCATGCTGTGAACCTAGCTAGCCACCTTCTGTGTGACTGCTAAGATAGGCCAGGACCTGGGCCCCCTGGGTGTTGAGCCCAGCCTTCAGAGCTGCCCCTCACCAAGATTCAGCACAACTCTTGCTTCAGACCCCAGTGTATCACTTCCCTATTGCTGCTGTAACAAATTACCACAAACTAAGTGGCTTAAAATAACACATTTATCTCACAGTTCTGTATGTCAGAAATCTGACATGGATCTCAATGAACTGAAAATCAAGGCACAGGCAAGACTATGTCCCTTTCTGGGGGCTCTAGGAGAGACTCTTTCTTTGTTTTTTCCAGTTCTAGAGGCCACCCACATTCCTTTGCTTGTGGACCTTTCCTCCAGCTTCAAAGCCAGCAACAGTGGGTTGAGTCCTTTTCATGTTACATCTCTGACCCACCTTCTGTCATCCCATCTCTCTCTGGCTTTGACCTCAGCTGGGAAAGGTTCTTTGCTTTTAAGAACTCATGATTAGGTTTGGCCCACCTGTTCTCAAGGTCCTTAGTCTTAGTCATATTTTCTAAGTCCCCTTTTTCATGTAAGTTAACATATTAGTAGGTTCTGGGGATTATGACCTAGACAAATTTAGGGTGCTATTATTCTGCCTATCACTCATGTTGGGGGAGATAAATCACCTTATATCTTGTAAAACTATGGAATGCATTAATGGAAAAAGTATAGGACTCAGTATTATAGGTTATGGGCTCGAGTCCCAGCACTGCTACTTGCTAGCTATGTGACCTTAGGCAAGTCACTTTGCCTTTCTGAGTTTCAGTTCCCCTATCTAAAAAAGGTGATAAACGTTATAAAACTTGCACTCTAGGGCTACTGAGAAGAACAAATGAAATAATGCAGTCAGATCCCGTAGAAAGGTACATTTGACTTTTTCATTGGGCTCAGGTGCATTAGGAACATGTGAACTAGTATGTAGAAGTAGTTAATTTTACATACCAATATCCTCCAGGCTGACATGCAAGAGCTAATTAAAAGAATCTCTAAGTTCATTAGTTTAACAAATTACTGTTCTCATCATTAAACTCAGTACCAAGATACAATTACAAACAAGATGTCATTCCTGACCTTGAGGAACTTTTAATGGGGGAGTTGGGGCTGAATTAGGAAGGGGCAGCTCAGCACATCACCAAATACCACCCTAGGGGATGGTAATGCTGGCGGTGTGCACGGAGTGACGGTAATACTGGCGGTGTGCATGGAGTGATGGTAATGCTGGCGGTGTGTACAGAGTGATGCCAATACAGATGAACAGGGCATCTAAAGCACGCTGAGGGGCAAGGGAGACTTTTCAGAAGAATGCATGCTCATAATGAGTTTTAAATGAAGGTAGAAGGTAATTAAGAAAACAAAGGACAAACATTCTAGGAGTAAAGAACAGGATATTCAAAGGCACAGATGAATAGATAGACATGACGCATCCAGGGACCTGTCAGTAAGCCCTTGTGCCCTGTGCAGACACATTCAGGGATGTGGCCAAGGGGAGGGCAGGGCCAGATCACCAAAGACCTCTCAGTTAAGGCAAAGAATTGAGTTTATCTCAAAAGCCATGGAGAATCACTAAAGATTTTAAGCAGAATGACATGAATATATATGTATATCATAAAAATCCCTCTGGTAGCAGAGTAAATGACTAATTGGAAGGAAGCAGGACTGTGAGCAGTGAGAACATTTAGGAGCTACTGCAGTGATGCAGCAAGGGTGGAGGGGAGGCTGTGGGTTCAAGAGATGCCAAAAGGGTAGACCCTATAGTAGTAGACCCTACAGTACTTGGAAAGTAGGCAAAACATCTTTGTGACTTTTTTTTAGATAGCCTTCTATATGGAAGGTCAGAGTTTCTACAAAAAGTGCTACACAACTGGACCCAAATTCATAATGCCAAAAAATAGGGGGCTAATTGCTTATTGGAAAGTTCACTGTGATGTCTGACATTTACATAATCAATGGGATTCCTAGGCATTTTTCAATGAATCTCCTCTTAGACTCCGCATTGGTTTTCCTGATATAGTAGAAAGTCTGACACAAGTTTTGGTATCTAAATCAGTAACATTAATTAAAGTATTGACTTATTGGGTGAGTCTGCAGGGAAATAGTTAAGTGCAACTTAGGCAATGGCCTATCTTGGGATGTGGGGAAGGGTCGGGGCAAGGGGTGAAGAAACAGCATGTTTTTCCCCAAACTGCCAAGAAGTGTGTCCATGTCGATGGTATTTGCTGATTGCTTGCCCAATGTTCTTTTGACTGGATAGATTCAATACTTTTTAGCACAGTTTAAAAATTAAATAATATCTATATCATACCACTACTTATAAGCAATGTTATTACATTTTTGCCTATAAGTTTGGCATGTGGCTTCAAACTCCTAAGCAGAGAGGCAAATCATGCATAGGCCTGGGAGAAATCCACAAGTGACATTCTAAGCCAACCATTCCACACAAAGCATTGAGCCATTTCTCCTGCTTGCTGAAGTGGCAGTCACCCAGAGAACAACATCCTGGCCTTTCACATCTGCCAAGTCCTTTCTATAATCAGAAAGCCTGTTCCTACCTCAACCTTCCTTCCAAGATGTATGGAAATCTTAAAAGTCTAGGACCAGTCCTCAGGCTTCCTCAGGCTTCCTTTCTTATTTGCAAAGTATACCATTAGGCATGGGGGTTCTGCACCTAAACCTCTGTGTGTTTGTGTGTGTGTGTGTGTGTGTGTGTGTGTGTGTGTGTGAGAGAGAGAGAGAGAGAGAGAGAGGATAGTCTTCTTCTGAAGTTACATCTACAAAGTTTCCCAGCATTTTTCATCGCATTTCAAAGACTGACGTTAATAGCAAATCTGAATAATAAAAGACTTAAAAAGAGATTACTCCTAAAAGAAGCTTAAAGAAACTTAAGACATAGGGAGAAAGGGGCACTTTAAGGGTTAAACCCTCCTGTGTAGGCCACCTACCATCAGGACCCACAAGCCACAGCTCAGATGGTCAGGAACAGGGCAAGAGTAAGATCAGATCCAGTTTATTCTGTTTTCATTCATTCATTCATTCCTCTATGGAAAAAATATGTATGAGGGCCCCCATGGACCATTAGCTTGAAGTGCAATGCTAATGAGCAGCTGTTACTGTCCTTAGAGAGCCCTCAGTTCAGTGAGGGAAGACTGGTAAGCAAGCAAGGGATTGCTTAGCTGCCATGTCATTGGTTGAATAAAATAAACCTGGAAGTAGTTTGAGGAGAAATCAAAATTCAGAGAAGGGTACTTTGGGGGATTTATATCACTAGTCTTTTACACTTAAACAGGAAGCACCTTAGATCAAATAGTTAGGATCCAATTTGACCAGTTTTGCAGTAATATCCTGCCACCTGTTGAAACACAAAATAAATATGACCCTAGGCAAATCCAAATCATCTTTAGAGGGAAATGTATACAATAAATATGAAATATTACTGATTTGTGATTTATGACCACAAGTACTAAATGTTTCCTTTGCAATCTCATAAATAACTGGCTAGAGCATGAAGAAAAGTTTAATTTTTAATAGTTTGTTTAAATTAATACTTATCCCTACTTTCCTTCAATTCATCATTCTTAACCATAGGATACATGCTTATGGAAAATTAAGAGACCACACAAAAGCATAAGAAAAGATTATGAAAATTTCCACCCAATTATTAAATAAAAAATTGTGGACAATTAAGCTCCAACATAAAAAGCCAAATGGCCTGATGTGTGTGTGCCCTGGAATTCATGATGCCTGATTCTCTGATGTGCACCCTGCAGCTCTGTCAGGCCCTGGTCTTGTTCGCATGGTCACAGTCTGTGCTGAATCCCTCAACACGCATCTGGACAGGTTGGAGGAGGTGACCAATGAGTCAGGCTTCATCGACGTGTTGACCCTCCTGCGGTGCGTCATGCTGGACACCTCTAACATGCTCTTCTTGAGGATCCCTTTGGACGGTACTGAAATTTTCACTCTTGCCTCTGGACCTTCTGTCCTTTATTGAACAAGGGGCCAGGAGGGATAGCAGACCAAATGTCGTTTTCTACATTGCTCTTGTTTAAACATTTCTAAGTGCTCCTGGGTTTTTTTGCCTGGTGTTTCTGCTTTGTTCACTTATAAAATATAAATTTCCATAAAGTAGGAGCCAGCATCTATTTCTTTTGTATCTCTCCTCATTGCTCTAGGAGATAGAATTCTACCCACAGTTGAAACTTAACAAATGTGATCAGTCCATTTAGTTATTACTATATCCTATTACTAATCAACTTGATATATTTAACCATTTCCAACTGTTCTTTTGAGCATTATATATATATATACACATATACACAGACTCCTCCCTCAAAGCTACCAAACATGAAAACATCATGTCTATAAAATAAAAATGTTAATACTGCTGGTGACACTGACGCTGATGGAAATTATTATATTAGCTGCCATTAACGTAGTATCTAATGTGTGTGCCAAACAGTATTAAATATTGCTGTATATACATGTTTGCCATTTATTATTTATAACCTTAACAAGAGGTCTCACTCAAAAGGCTACTTTCCCTACTAAGATATAGAAATGTATATCAAAACATGTGCATGCTCATGTCAAACTCATAGAACTTGATTTTATTTTGGCAGGATTAAATCAATTTGCAACTGCCAGAATTTCAGCTAGTTCTTGAAAAGTTGTGCCATTGTGCAAAAGTCCTTGAATTCTTTGATAACTTTTTAACCTAATGATCAAATACCTGAAAAGAATGGAGTGGACTTATACCCAATTGTTTCACACTCTTTTCTATGGGTTCATTTTTTATTGCCATTGTGACCTTATCCACACACTAGCTCTGTAAAATGAATTCACTATTCTGATTTTGTACTCATCTATAAGGGATTCTGACAGATTCTGACTTACAGTAGTTTACCTGGAAAGTATAGGAATTTAAAAATTGGCATTCTTTCTAGTATACCTTTTTTGTTTTTTTCTTAAAATCATTTATATTATGTACTACACTTAAAGAATATTTTGGTCTCCATTTCAGTAATCTGTGCATAAGGTTACTAATAATATGCGTACATGAAGAAAAATTCAAAAGCCCATTCAGGTATCTTTTAGAACATTATTTACCACTAAATATTTATATAGTTGATATAATGCTTACTATAATAATAATAGAATGGTAATAGAATTTTTTTTTTACTTCTTATCCATAAACATTGGCCTTATCTTGCCTCAAGAGGAGTAGAATTTATTAAACAAGATTCCTAAATCCATACTAGTATTGTGACTTCATACATTTTGTAACCCTAACAGTGACTATACCCTAAAAACCTATAAATCCCCCAAATCACTCTACTGATTAAAAAAGATGTGCATGCAACTCTACCATCACCAAAAAGCAAACAATCATTTGAGTAGTTTGGTGGTTGCCAGAGGGCAGGAAGGGTAGTGGGGAGAGAAGAGATGAAGAGAAGTTGATTCATGGGTACAAAAATATAGGTAGATAGAAGAAACAAGATCTAGTGTTAGATAAATCAGTGTAGTGAAGAAAATAAATAATAATCTATGTACAACCAAACAGCTAGTAGAGAATAATTTGAATGTCCTCAGCATAAAGAAAAGATAAATGTTTAAAGTGATGAATATCCTCATTACCCTGATTTGGTTATTACACATTATATAAATGTATAAAAATATTACATGTACCTCTAAATATGTATATCTATTATATATCAATAAAAAAGTAATCGTTAGTATTAATTCTATTCTGCTATTGACATTAAGTATGTACAACTCAATGTGACTTTTCCTGAATTAGCTTACACCAGTGTTTGTTGATTCATACATTCATTTATCAAATGTTTATTGATTGCCTATTTTGTGCCAGGCACTGTTCTAGGTTCTGGGGACATAACAGTCAACTAGACAGATAAAATTCTTGCCTTCAAGGGATTTACATTCCAGTGGGAGATGTGTACAGAAAAAAAATCTAATAACATGTTAGGCAATGTTAAGTGCCTTGAAGGAAAAATGAAGCAGAGCAAGAGGATGGGAAGTGTGAAGGAGGGCAACAGTGGGCGTGGGCATGGATGTCATGGAGAGGTGGTCAGGAAAGGCCTCTGCAGAGAAGGTGTTTGGCCGTAGCTCAAATTTGTTGAGGCCACAATCCACAGGTAGATATGAGGGAAGAACACTTCAGGCAGAGGAACAATGCATACTTTTAACATTTGCCCCAACCAACTGACCTGGAACACATGCTACCTGGTATACCACACTTGGACACATAGACAAGCTATAAGCCCTCCCTATTGACTCATCTCTCCTACTCCAATTACTCCATACAAGAGCTGTAGAAACTTCATCTGATGGCCATTTGGATGGGAGCCCTCAATCACTTGAAGAATTTTTAGTCAAACTATCTCACCTGGTCTCTTTTCAGGCAGGGATGCCACTCCCAGGGTGCCTGTTCCTACAGACATCACTTCTAAAGTGAGACAGGCATGTATTTTACAAGTCTAGGCTCCCTGGTCCCACTCTAGCCTTGCTCATTAGGAAGGATTATGTAAAAGGAATTGTAAATCTCTCCGTTCATTTTTGGATCCAGAATGTGATGCTGGCAAACCTGTGCAACCCACAGTTACATAATTCCTTTCACAGGGGTCCATGTTGAACTCTCAAATTGCCTAAGGGACCCAGTGCAAGAAAGAGAAAAGGACATGGTCCTGAGGTCAGACAGAACCAGCTCCAGCCTCAGGGCCTGCCTGTCAGCCACACTGGCTGTATGGTTTTGGGCAAGCTTCCGAATATCTATGAATTGCAATTTCTTCAACTGCAAAAGGATGACACCACAACGGCCATGGCAAGATTGCAAAAATTAAATTAAAAATCTCTTTCACAAAGCGCCTAGCATAATGACTGGTATTCAGCAGTTGAAAATAAATATCTGTTCTCTTCCCTTTTGTATATTAGCTGGTATAATTTGAAAAAGCAAGGGTTTTCTTTCCTCTAGTATTCAATTTAATTAAAGAGCATTTATTAAGAGCTGATTGTACAGGAGGCTTAGGACAAGGCATTGAAGAACACAAGATGAATTCTACACTCTGGACTGAATTTAAATAACTATGAAAGCTTTGTGATGAATGCTTAGGGAAAAGTGAACAAAGCACCATGAGAACACAATTAGAAGCTATTAAGTGTGCACTCCAGGTAAACTGTCCACTTCATGACTCTGCTTACCTGACACCAAATGAAGTTAAAATGTGGTTGTTAGCCACCTAACAGGCTCTGCTTTTTGCCCTCCCAGTTACCAGAGTGATGGCCATATCAGCCATAGTTACTAGTTCCATTTGTCCGGAGAAACAGGAGTGAGTTGGAAGCACAGCCCAAGGAGGATATGTGAGATTCTAAGCTGAAAACGTGAAAACACAAACTTGAAAACTGGCAACTCATTGGTTAACTAAGGCCAACAAGGATGGCAAGGAGAAAAAAATCAGAGCTTGATTTGTCCTGTAGTATTCACATGGCTAAAACCCCTACTGAAGATGGAATCTTGCTTAGCTTAGAACCTTAGCCTGTTAGGACAATCTACAGGGAATGTTTTCTGCACCGAGCACCCCTCTTAGGCTCACATTTTGCTCAACTGCTTTCTTGTGTGTGTGGTTTTTTTTTTTTCTACAGAAAATGCCATCGTGTTTAAAATCCAAGGTTATTTTGATGCATGGCAAGCTCTCCTCATCAAACCAGACATCTTCTTTAAGATTTCTTGGCTATACAAAAAGTATGAGAAGTCTGTGTAAGTAATACAACTTTGGAAGATTTATGAGTACAATTGGATTGTTTTTTTACCCTTGTGTCTTTGCTGTTTTTCTTGGCCTCTTTGGTAACTTTTCTGCTCTCGAGAGCCCACAAGGGAGCTGTTGGTTAAGTTTCTGATGAAACACTTTTTACAGCAGTTTGGCTGCATTTGGCCAGACCAGAGATTAAAAGCCTTTGGCTGGGCAGCTTCTCAGCAAGGGGGCTGAGTATGTGGTCTGGGAGCTTCAACTTGGGAACTAGTACACACTAGTGTATTTTGAGTTGAAGAGAAGGGTTGACTGATCCTGTCATTAATATCTGTCAAAATTCTCTTTGCACATCTGAAAAACTGGAACCACATCAATTTATAGTTGTGTTATTTTTGAATGAATTTAACATAATTCAACTTGTCAAAATTCTATTGACAATAGTCTCAATAGAATTTTTTCATAATGAGTATAGTTAATTTCAATAAAAAGTGTGTGGGTTTTAAAAATTATGTATCTTGTGTTTTGAGGGTCATGAAATTGTCATTAAATTGCTTTGTTTTGGTCTTAGAATCATCCAGCAGAAAACTAGACAAATGCCCAGTGGCCTACAGACTAATCAATGGGTTTGTAGAGTACAAGTAGCCAGTCAGTAAACGCTGCTACTTCTAACCACCAGTAAAAAGCCTATGGAATCTAGAAGCAGAAAGCCCGGCTTTGTATCTTGTTTCTAATGGCCTTGGGAAGTTATTCAAAATAAGATATAACCTTTCTTCTAGAGTGGGGGCATAGGTTAATGAGATCATATAAGTAAGGCAATTAGCAAAGAGCATGGCATATAGTAGCACTAAATACGTTAGTTTCTCCCTTCCCCGTGTTCATATCTTCCTCAGATGTTCCTAACCATCTCAAGTTCTCCATCTCTAAATGAACCCAAGCTTGTCTGAAGACCTAATTTTATTCTACTTGTGGATTTTGAAATTCATTAATATTAGTTTCTAGAGAAGCCAACTTGATGTTGTTTTGTTTATTCTCTCGTGGTTGATGAGTACTCAGTGAATGTTTTAGACACTTGGTTCTTTACACATTTCATTTCCACCAGAGCTTATTGTGACTTGAAAAAAAAATAGATAAAAGATGCATCTCTTTGATCAGAGTTGGTGGCAGTGGTAGTGGTCTGAAGAGTTCATTATATAGCCCTTAGTCATTAGTTTAGCCTTGGTCTTGGGCAACGGACCCATAGAAACTTATTGTATGAGTCTGTATAAGGGTTTCTCTGAGGTTTCTGTGGTTCCGTCAAGGAACTCTCTATGAACTTAGAGGCTAGAGGCATTCCAACACCTCCTAGACCATTTGGGGCTAGTGCTCAGATAGGAATGCTATGAGCATTCTCAGTCTACTAGGAAGAGGGCACCACAGCCCAACTGAATATATGTTCTTTGTATATAGGAAATGCTCAGCAAACATTTGATGAATGCATGCATCAGTAGGGTATTTCAGTGTATAGGTGAACATGTCACTTAGAATTTGAAAGACGGATTTATTGTACATTTAACATAGTACAGAACACTGTTCCCTGGGATAAGGGAATAATACGCTGAGAATGTACACATACACTGAAGGACAGAGACAAGAAAAATTGAATTCAGATTCAAGATGACTTTATTTTTCATCTAGTCTGGTCCCTTCATGTTAAAAGGATGTAGGGCCCAGAGATTTAAAGTAGTTTACATGGAAAGAGAACAACCTGAACTGGGACCTGACCCCACCCCATCCAGGTGTTCTTTCAACCACACTGCCAAGATGCATATAAATTTTTATGCAGCTAGTTATTCATTCAACATATATTTACTTAGTGTTTACAATGTGGCAGAAACTAATGAGGCATGAGAATAAATATCAAGAAAAATAACTAGTCTCTGGAGTTTACTGTTTAGAACAGGAATCTCAAACTCCAGTCTTCAGGGCTAGGCAAATAATAGTAGGCTATGGGGGCCGGGAACAGTGGCTCATGCCTGTAATCCCAGCACTTTGGGAGGCTGAGGCAGGCGAATTACCTGAGGTCAGGAGTTTGAGACCAACCTGATCAATATCGTGAAACTCTGTCTTTACTAAAAATACAAAAAATGAGCTGGGTGTGGTGCCGGGCACCTGTAATCCCAGTTACTCAGGAAAATGAGGCAGGAGAATGCCTTGAACCCCAGAGGCAGATGCTGCAGTGAGCTGAGATCATGCCACTGCACTCCAGTCTGGGCAACAAATTGAGACTTTGTCTCAATTTTGAAAAATAAAAATAAAAGCAGGCTATGGGAATGTAAGACAAGGAAATGAACGTACCTGTGGCCAACTGAAGAGCACATGACAGCATTCACAGGTTTGATTTCGTTTTTTAATTTAAACTTTGTGCCGCCAAATCAGAAATTTAAAAACGTTGTTAGAGTTAGGCTTTTGGTATCAGTTTTTAACCCTTAGCTAGAAGTCACAGCCTTGATTTTGCTACCAGTATCCTAACCAGAACTCTTGGCTAACTTGCACTTTAACATCAAGTATAAGGTCTATGTAATTTAAGGGTATTTATGAAGAAATAAAACAGTAATTTACTTACTCATAAGCACCAGTGAATTCAATTAAAGCAGATCATTTTACCTAAACACATGGCAAATAAATCTGTTTCGCTAGATGTCTAAACTGAGTACAAACAGACTATATTTTGACTTTTTTCCCAGCAAGGATTTGAAAGATGCCATAGAAGTTCTGATGGCAGAAAAAAGACGCAGGATTTCCGCAGAAGAGAAACTGGAAGAACATATAGACTTTGCCACTGAGTTGATTTTAGCCGAGGTATTGACCTGAACTAACCATAATTCCCATGCCACGTATGTTATAACTGTGTAGAAGTGTGTAAAGATTCCCTTTTATAACTGTATCATATTTCTGCTTTTAAATACTTTCTCTAGAAGTTTTGTAATCCCAATCCAAATATCCCACACATTAGATATTTCAGTCAGACCTTTAAGATTGAAACATTCTAGTAAGACTGACTGCTAAGATTGTGACTCTTCTGTGTCACAATATAAAATATGAAAACAAGGTGGGGGAGCCCAAAGACACTATATACATAGACAATCAGCCTCATTGTACATCTTTCAGTTGAATATTGTCATGTAGAATGTCCACAGTCAATCACAGAGACATGTGGTTTCTATGATTTCATTTGGTTGAGACTGTTGATCATTGAGTGTCACCTCCCCTCATTTTTTGAAACGTTGATTCACTTTTCCAAATTTTTCCCATCTTCCAATTGTTCAGAAACGTGGTGACCTGACAAGAGAGAACGTGAACCAGTGCATGTTGGAAATGCTGATTGCAGCTCCTGACACCATGTCTGTCTCTCTGTTCTTCATGCTATTCCTGATTGCAAAGCACCCTAATGTGGAAGAGGCAATAATGAAGGAAATCCAGACTGTTGTTGGTAAGAATTTATCAAATAAATAATATAGCTTAAAAAACAATTTCTTCTGAATGTTTTTTCTTATGCCCTGAGAATCTGATATCAAACATAATTTTTTTTATAATTTACTCCAAACAATATAGCAAGACATTCTGTCACAGTTGATTATACCAGATAGACTGAAAAGATAGTTCTTTCTGCGTTTTTAATCATAAAAATAATACATGCTCATTGGGAGGAATTTAAACCACAGAGTGATGTGTAAAGCAGTAAGTGACATTTCCCCCAATCCCTTCCACTCTACTCTCCAGCCTCATCCCCACTTTCCAACAGCAACCATTGTTAATAGTTTGCTGCATGTTTGTTAAGATCTTTTTCTATGTGCCCACAAACACATACTTAGGATTGGATTTGTCTATTTTACAAAAACATGGGATTATATACAATGTTCTGCCTACCTTGTCAGTTACAAAAGACTTCTGCATCTCCCAGGGAAATTATCATCTATCATTTATAGCAGTGTTTCTGGGCTTCAAGCAGCCCATTCACAAATGAACTTCCAGTTTGTGGCAGAAGAAAGAGGCAAGATGACAGCAAAGACAGGGAGTGACAAAATTTCCCTCTCCACTCCAATCCAGTGATGCTGGCCCCTTCCTTTCCCCTGCCCTCTACTCCTCTGTAGGGGAGCTCCCAGGACCACACTCAGGTCTTTCCCAATTCTACCTCTTCATTGTGCTGCCTCAGCTTCAGTTTCATCCTGCTCCACTGTTCTACAAAAACAATGCCACCTTTGAAAGAAATCAAACTTGCTTTCTAGGAGAAAGCGGAATTCCTCATTTGATATTTCCTTCACATGAGTAATCTTTTAGGAACACATTTCTTACAGATGTGAAGAGATATCACAGAATGTAGATTTCCCTCTCTTTACACAGTCCCTGCAAAACAAGTTATTTGCTTGTAGAAGGTCATCATGTTTTTCAAACCATTGGAGTACTGCTTGAAATAGTTAAACATAAGGGGAAATTTCATCAAAGGGTTAAATATGTGAGAGAAGGGATCTGCAGATGCCTCACACAGGTGGAAAGATTCCTGGATAGGTAGATAGCAATGAGCCAGAATAACATCTGAACTCCAAATTTCAGAATGTTTTCTCAAGTGCCTCCTATCAGGTTCTCAGGTCTGTGCCAGGTGCAGGGCTATAGCCTTGAATGAGCCAACACCATCGCTGCACTCATGTGCTCATGGGCTGGTGGGAAAAAGAAAACAAGCTCAATAAAGAGAGAGGGAAGGAAGGAGTTCAGGGAAACCAGAAGCCTTTAATACACATTGAATACAATTTATTTGAGAGGTGAAATGTGCGTGTACAAGTTGATGTTCCCCGACATGTCAAAAAGCCTCTGCAAAGATGGAAAAGCAGCAGAGCCATCTGCAAACATTCATGCTCCCTCCTGTGTGCCACACACAGACTCGGTAACTAGTTCCTAGTGAGCACCTTTGGTCACCTTCTCCATCATCTTCCTTTCTACTTCCCCACCCCAGATATACAGACCCCATTACCCCAAGGGGAAGGGCCATGAGAGTACTCTGACCAAACTATACCTTTCCTCAGTGGCTTGGTTGTACAGGAGACAGGGCTGCCTCGGGACCCTGGGCTTTGCCATTTCTGGGAGTAATCTGAGCCTCTTTGACCAGTATCAAGCCAATCTGAGACAGTGGGGGTGTCCGTCAATCACCACCTCACCCAGGGCTGATCTGAGGCACCTATGTTGTTGTGGGGGAGAAGAATGTCCTTGTCACTCTACTGCAGAAGATCTTCTTGATGAGATGCAGATGAACTATCAGTGACGTGTATGGGCAGATGACTGCACAGGTAATCAGAGGAGAACATTTCATTGAAATGGATCAAATCTGCCATCTCACTTTGACTCTGCAGCAGCCTGTGCATCATCTCTGGGATGGCTGTGGTGCCACTTTGCTCACAAGTGAAGAGAGGAAATGAATGTTCCCCACAATTTAGAGCAGGGAACAAAAACTCAAAGGTTTCAGAAAGCAGGCAGATAAGATGAATGCCTGAAGCAGATTGGGTGTGTTCTAGACAGAACTGCAGGACGTATGCCCCCGCTAAACAGAAAATTGGCCACTCAGCATCAGCCCATTATTGCTATGGGGGAATGTAAGTTCAGCATCACCAAGTTTTCTGGATATTTGGGCTTTTCTATAAAATATTCCCATTTTTAAGGGAATTGGCTTCCTATCTGAATTTTTATAAAACATCCTGTGGACCAAGCATAACATATTTGGTGCTGGTTGCTGGTGTGCATTAGAGCCATCATTTTTTTTTTTTAAACCGAGAGCAAACTGTTCCATGGAAAAAGTAAGGAGCTTTAATGCCAATCACAGGTGAAAACTAACATTATCTTCTTTGTCCCTTTTCTCTGTTTTCACAGGTGAGAGAGACGTAAAGATTGATGATATACAAAAATTAAAAGTGGTGGAAAACTTCATTTATGAGAGCATGCGGTACCAGCCTGTTGTGGACTTGGTCATGCGCAAAGCCTTAGAAGATGATGTGATCGATGGCTACCCAGTGAAAAAGGGGACGAACATTATCCTGAATATTGGAAGGATGCACAGACTCGAGTTTTTCCCCAAACCCAATGAATTTACTCTTGAAAATTTTGCAAAGAATGTAAGAGCCCTTCCTTAAAACTGAGTGTGCCTCTCTTGAAAATGTCAGCATTAAATCCTCTCTGGTTCTCTGTGTTTGCACCATAAACATTTCATTTTTCTTACTTGTTCCCCTCTGCCGTCTCACCAGGAGCACACATGTCCCCTAGCTTGGAGCAGGGCTCCCATATTCATCCTCAAGCCAAGGATTCTGGGTCTCCAGCTCTAAAAAGTATCTGCATAGTGGCCACAAAATAGGTGAAAAAGCCAGGCCCTTAATTTGCTTAAAATGAGGTGATTTTTGTTTAACCCAACCAACCTACTTTTCCATTTAAACTTTGTCATCATGCATCATATTCAGCTATGGCATGATCTGAGCAAAGGAAAGTCCATTACTGCTTCAGATGGAAATCAAATGAGACCAAAAGATTTGGTTTTTGCAAAGTACCTTTGGTTCATCAAATGGCCCCATAGACAGCAGGTCCCATTCTAAACAGGGCTTACTAATTAGAAGAGAGTCAGTTTTTCTTTTTCTATGATTGATGTGTACTAGATATTCCAACTTCATTACGTCAAATTTTAGGCAATATGTTTTTCAATCTGAATTAAATAAGCAGTTCCCTAAGTACCTTTTTTCAATTTGCATATAGTGTAGAAACATGATGCTAATTAATTCAGTATGCTAATTCATCTTGTTTCTACATAGGCAATCCAGATAATGCCATGTAAATCAGTGAATTGGTCAACAAAAATTTATTGAACATCTACTATATGCCAGGCAGTAAGTCTAGATGTGGACAAGACAGATGTGGTCCTCATTAATTTTCTACATAACTAAAAATAGTTCGATGATTAGCACTGAGTAGGCCAGGAATCTACATCTTTGCTTGCTTTTGTCTTCTATTTGGTACCACACAAAAATGATCTTTGCCTGAGTGACTTGTAAAACAATAGTAAATCTGTGTCTATTCCACAGAACTACCTGATTATACTAACACTGGCTGTAATAAGATGATCTGCATTGCTTTACCCCAGCACATGAAAGGCAAAACTGGGGAGTCTTTGAGGTTGGGTCTGTCTGTGTTGGATCATGAGGGGTGAATCAAACAGGACAGAGAAGGGACTTACTTGAGTTCCAGTTGTTCATCTGAAGGGGCAGGGGGCATTGTGGCTGATACCCCAAAACAGAGGGTTCTGACTGACCAATATATTCAGAATGAATCCAACAGAGATTGAATGACTCTAGCTTTTAATATTCTGGCTAACTGTCTGATCATTTTCATAGGTTCCTTACAGGTACTTTCAGCCATTTGGTTTTGGGCCCCGTAGCTGTGCAGGAAAGTACATCGCCATGGTGATGATGAAATCCATTCTCGTTACGCTTCTGAGAAGATTCCACGTGAAGACATTGGGGGGAGAGTGCGTTGAGAGCCTACAGAAGACAAACGACTTGGCCTTGCACCCAGATCACACTAAAAGCATGCTGGAAATGATTTTTACCCCAAGAAACTCAGGCTGGTGCCTGGAACACTAAAGAAGGCTGGTCAGTACCTACTCTGAAGCATTTCTCATCAGTAGTTCACATACAAATCATCCATCCTTGCCAATAGTGTCACCCTCACTGTGAAAACTCAGTGGCCCATGGCATTTTATAGGCATACCTCCTGTGGTTTTTCAGCAAGCTGGGTGCTATTGGTCATCTGCTCCTATTCCCATCAGAGAACCAGGTTACAGGAGAAAAGGCAGAGGCCAAGAGTTTGAGGGAGAAATAGTCAGTGAAGAAATGGTATCCTTAAAGGCCCGATTTCACCAAAAGTGCTTTGAGAAGGATGGGCCTTCATTAGCAAAATGTCTGATTCCCCACTGGAGCTCTACTGCCTCACCCCAAGGGCATTTTTGTGTCCAGGGCAGAAACACTCAAGTTGATTAGAAAGACCAGGCCAATGTCAGGGTACCTGGGGTCAAACACACATGCTATTGTGAATTAAAGTACTTTAATTTTGTTTTCTGTGGGAGTGGGACAGCAACATTCGTAGTCTTTGAAGAAATGCTTACAAACTCAGCATTTAACCCTTCCTGTGATTAAGCCCAATTAACTCCTGTCTGTGCACAGATGATCTGTCTGTGGCAAAAGTTAAATCAGAGGAAATTATTTCCTAGTCTGTCAATTTATGCCTCAGCCACTTGCCTGTGCTCCAATTCATTGTATTACCTGTAGATTCAGGTAATACAAGCTAATTTAGTAATAGCCTAGGTTAAGTATAATTAGGACCCTGTGTCTGCTGTTGAAAAAAAAATCACATGATATACTTCAAATTCAAATAAAAACGCTTTTGGCATTTTCCATTGTTGCTAACTCTATTAGTGTGGCTAACCAAGCTATCACTGTAAATATGGCATTGATTTGCTCTTACCACAGCTTCAGGGATTGGGAGAGGAAAAGTCCTCCACATCTGTATCTAATTCTACAACCCAGTGGGCTCAAACTTCTAAGGAGTGCTCCTCTCCTCCCCTTATCCTTCTCCCTTGAAATTTTCTCCCTCTCTTTCTTCCCTTGACCCCAAAAGCCAAGGGCAACAGATCCATAGAGAACATGGTCAGAGTAGAATCCCTGCAGTATTTTTTAATCCTACCTCAACTGTAACTGTTACCTGAGAGATTTAACATTATCTAGTTCATTGAATCATTATAATTGTATGTGGTCATGGATAAAATGCACACCTTGGAATTAGCTTTCTAAAGGAAATCAGATGAATGGATTAACTTTCCAAACACCGCTTCACTTGTGTTATATAGCCAATATGACTATCTCTACTGAATGTCATTGAAAAACTGAAAAATTAAACTTATTTACAAATAGGTAAATATTTGCCATTGAATCCATTGCCATCCCATTTAACTATTCTTTTCATCTACTGTTTAGCAACAAGGCAACAGCTGAGTATAAAACGAGAATGTAACTCCCTGAAAGCAAGAGCTACTTTCCTTCTTTTGTAATCCATCTCCATCCCCATCTCCCTGTTCTGTCTCCCTATATTCACTCCCAAACTCAGTTCTGAATAGACTCTTCTGCTCAGAGATATACCCAACAGATGCAGAAACCAAGTAAAGAGGTAGGTATTCCAAGAATTTAAGAATGGACACCAGTAAAGAATAAAACATTTATTGAACTTGAAATTATTTGGATCATCTGTATGGCCTAAAAATATATGGACTCCAGGCACGGTGGCTCATACCTGTAATCCCAGCACTCTGGGAGGCCGAGGCAGGTGGATCATGAGGTCAAGAGATCAAGACCATCCTGGCCAACATGGTGAAATCCTGTCTCTACTAAGAATACAAAAATTAGCTGGGCATGATGGCGCATGCCTGTAGTCCCAGCTACTTGGGAGGCTGAGGCAGAAGAATTGCTTGAATCCAGAAGGCAGAGGTTGCAGTGAGCCGAGATCATGCCCCTGCACTCCAGCCGAGGGACAGAGCAAGATTCCGTCTCAAAAATAAAATAATAATTTAAAGATATATATTCATATATATATATATATATATATATATATATATATATATGGACGTATACAGATGTATTCAGGTACACAGGCATGTATGGACTATGCCTGTGTACCTGAAAACGTCTGTAGATCTGTAGTCAGGTCTAGACTACCATTCAAATACTTTAGACCCCTGAAAGCAAGAAGCAAGGCCAGGATTTGAGATTTAACATGTCCAAGTTAGTTCGCTTAAAAATTAGTAACACTGTTTATATTGCCTCTGGCTGGAGCTGCATGGTGGAAGAAGCCCAACTTTGGATCCGTGTATTTCACCCATCCAATACTCTTGGGACATTTATGTGTATTTTGCCTGCATATATATGTAGCGAAGATCTATGTCTACACAGTCAAAGTGAAATGAAAGTTTGATATAATTGTACATAGATAACTATTTTGCAGATATAAAAATATGCTGGGGGAAAACTGAGATTGGAGTTTGGGGGTGGGAATGAGGGATACGGGGGAGGGACAGGAAGAGGGGAAGAGTTGGTTTGAATTATCCAAGCAAACTCTCCCAGAATCAAATTACCTGGGTAGTTGTTTAACTTTTCACTCAGCTTGGCCTGTAAGACAAACCTCATATGTTTATAGAGGCTTGGCCTATGAATTTTGGAATACCACTGGCTTTTCAGTAGGCTGATAAACACATATTTGAAAATGCTATTATCTCTTCAGAATTCTGCCTCATTGTTAAGTGCTTAACTGTCACTCTTGAAAGTGCAATGTGCTGTGGATTCCATTTTCATCAGTTCTCAAAGAACTGAAATGTGTACATTATCAGTGAAATGCATTTATATAAGGGCTCTATCATTATCAAACTGTAAGGACAATTGTACCCTTTTATATCCTCTGGTGTACTAAACACCCCCATGCCTTGATTGAGATCCCATGTTCTCCTCTCAAGTGGAAATAATCACATCCAGCAAGCTCTCTCATTGAGAAATACCACTTGGAAATTGCCACTTTTTATTCCTAAGCACCTTTCACTGTTCATAGTGCTAATATTTCACAAAAGCATGTGCCATTGGCCCATTGAAGAATGGCTGGACCCTTTTCAATCTGTATCAGCTGGGCTCTAGGACGGAACCTCTCACCTATTCTTGCAGAAAGACATACTAAATTAAACCTTGTGAAAGTAGTAAGTCAAATAGAGCATTTGGGGCTTTCAGTTGTTCTTAGCTCAAAGAACAAAGTCAAGGGCTTCCCTGTTTCAGCTCCCTCATTTCCTTTTTTAAGCTTTTAGCAGGTATTGGCCTATTCTAGGAAGTCAAAGACCATAACCCTGTTTCTACCAGGTCAACAAGACAATGGTTTACACAGGACAACCCCCATTCATCAAGTCCATCCCATTAAGTGTATTTTACCTCTCTCTCTCCCATCAAGAAAACATTTCAAAGCGTAAAACAAATGAGAATCATAAGAATACAATGATAATTATAAGAATAACCTCAAATCCACTGTGATTTATAACCAAAAGCAAATGTTTCACAAACCTCAGTATTTTAACTTGTTAGCAAAACATTTCTTGTAAAGAAGGTCTTAATAGAGGCATGGAAGCTGACTGCCTGTGGTTCAGGTAATTTTTAAAGTTCCTTTCAGCTTTGCAACTCCATGAATAGGGAGGCAGTGGAGCCCTGAATCCGGGCTCAGACTTTTCATAAGGAGATGCTTTGGACAAGCTGTTTCATCTCTCCATATCACAGTTTTCTCATCTGTCCAATGGGGATAATAATTATCTCATAAGCATTGCTGTGAGAATTGCAAGAAATAATTTCTGTGGAGCTCTTTAGCACAGTGCTGGTACACAGCAACCTCTCACCAAGCACAGGACATCATAATGATGAGCTCAGTAATGAGGCTGAATCATGAGCTCCTCAAATCTCTTCTCTTGCAGTAGAGGGGGACAGGAGATGATGTGCCAGATATTTCTATTACCTCATAGTAAGCTTCATGTCAACTTTTTCATCAGCATGAGTGCCTCAGTAATCCCTGCAGCCTATTGGTAAGACAGAGTCCTAAGCACCCAAGCACTCCCCTAGTAAAGGAACAACCTGGGTCTGAGTCCACCTCTCATTCCAAAGCCCTTGTCCCCTCTCTGATGCCATCTTCTTGCAGCAGGACTAACTGCTGAGAGGCTGAGGAGTCTCATTCCACTTCCCCAGATCTCTAACCATGTAACGCTGGGTAAACCCCTTTGAAGGACTGCTCATTCCCCATCTCATTGTCCAAGGAATTTGAAGCAAGGAATGTCTCCATTTCTTCATCTATAAAATATGGATAATTTTACCTGCCTTCCCTACTTCCCACATGTGTTTCAAGGTGCTTTCTCAAAAGAGATAGGGGAAAGTGCTGTAAAAGTTTAGTTAGTATAAGGTGGTAGTACTATCGAGTGTATTCCAATAACTGCCTCAATAGGAAATTATCAGATTCCATTTTGCCATTACCTGACCACCAGGAACACTTCCAGCTTTGCACAATTTCAATTAATTTCAGATTTGCGACTCCATTAGAAAATAAGGAGTGGCTTTAAAAAATAGTCATTTTCTATAAACACACAGTGTGCAAGGCAGACTGCATGATGGCCATAAAATTACCTACATTTTAGCCAAATTGGTAAATGTTAATAGGTCTATTATGATTGACAGCTATTATGCAATTTCTTCTTCTGGCAAGGATTTCATATATGAATGAAATATTCAGTCCCTCACATAGTTAGTTCCAATGCGAATAAGCTAGAAGTTTGGTGTGAAGGAGGCAAAGCCAGACTCACAGGCACAAAGGCTTCCTCTTCTAGCCTACTTAAGCCTGGATAGATGAAGAACTAAAGGTGGTGAAAGTGTATTCATTCTTTCAGGCCAGGAAAACAGTAACTGTAGCTACTTTCTTACTATATTAAGCCCTTTTAACAGTCATGTCATGTACTTCTCTTAACAATACGGTGAGGTGGCTATTATTCCCCCCATCCACCCATTTTTATTCCCTTGCTACCTCCTTGGTAGAGTTTCCCCCCCCACCCACATATACCCTAACATGTATAGCCAGTGTCTCAGGTTCTATTATCAAAAACTACTCCCAAAACACTTTTTTAAACTCCTTGGGAGGCTGAGGTGGGAGGATTGCTTGAGTTCAGGAGTTGGAGATCAAAATGAGCTATGATAGTACCATGGCACTCCAGCCTGGGTGACAAAGCAAGGCCCTGTCTCAAAAAAAAAAAAAAGTTGCTAAATGTATCTACCTAACTTATAAAGCATAGCTAAGTTTCAAAATGTCATCCTCCCTGTTAGTAGAGGTTTTTGGTTTTCTAAGGAATTGCGCAAAAGCTTTATTGGCATCTGCAAGCTGGGCTTGTGGGAGGAGTGATGGAAGGAAAAGAGATGGTATATTCCAGATACCCCTAAAATAATACCACCTACTTTGCCTACACATGAAGCTGGCCCACCTATAGTGCGGTGTTTAGGTTGCAAGGGTTCCCAAATCAGAATGATTACAGGAGCCAGGCAGGCAGCATAAATTGGACAATCAGGCCAGCTATAAGTAGAGCCTGTGGGAGACAAGGAAAATGTCCCACCTAAAGGCATTCAAGTTCAGTGTTCCTGAATGCCAGTGACAGCCAAACAAATCTCATCCATGAGCTGGATTGAGCCCATGTTTTAAGGTCTCTAATAACATTCCTGTTCATATCCAACATTTCGTTTGCATCCTCTCCTCACTCAGTGAGGAAGGCAGAGAAGTTCCACTTCACTGATGTGAAACCCAGAGAGGCTGCAGCCACCCACTAAGCGCCAGATCCAGGACTCCTCCAGGGATCCCAGATCCAAGTCCAGGGCTGTTTGATTTCACCTGGCCAACTTCCCTTCATAGCCGTGCATATTCTGATGGTGATTTCATGCCCTTTCACCAACCTGAATATCAATAGCCTCCTCTGTAAATATGGATTACACCAGAGGAACTCTGCAGTCATTTCCAATGCCTTTATTATGTTGTAACTATTTCACTTCATAAATATAGTAGCATCTTTTCCCCTTTGTATCTAAGTCTTAATAGCAAATTGAGTGTATAAGGCCATCTCACTTTCAAGTCAAGCATGCAATTTGGTCACTGAAAGAATGATTTGGGCATCCAGTGTGCACCAGCTGGCAGACTACAAGCTCCCAAACACTAGTATATCTGCATGTACCCTTAACTTGCTGTTGCAGGGGGATGAAGATGTTGATGGAAAACATTTCATTCACAAATAATTACTTTATTCCCTATTGCAACTTTTGAGCAAGCTGCAATAATTTGCTGAATTTTTTTTCTAAGTGGCATTGGTTTTATACT